ACGGATGCCTGGAACGGCTACCACAGCGTCCCTCTGCGTGAGTCGGATCGCCACCTCACTACCTTCATCACGCCCTTCGGCCGTTGGCGCTACACCAGGGCACCACAGGGTTTCCTGTCATCAGGGGATGGCTACAACCGTCGGTTTGACGCCGTCCTCTCGGACTATGAACGCAAGGAACGTTGTGTGGATGACACCATCCACTATGACACCGACCTGGAGCAACACTGATGGAGGACCATCGACTTCCTGACGCGTGTCGGCCGGTCGGGCATCGTGTTGAACCCGGAAAAGCTTCAGTTCGCGGAGAGGTGCGTCGACTTCGCCGGCTTCAGGGTGTCGGAATCTACCATCGAACCGCTCCCGAAAAACTTGGACGCCATCCGGGACTTCCCCACCCCAGGCTCCACGACGGACATCAGGAGTTGGTTTGGCCTCGTCAACCAGGTGGCTAATGGCGAGTTTCCACTACACGGCCTCGCTCGGCCCCGCTCGGTATGGCTGGGCCTCGTTAGGACTGGCTCACTTTATGGCGCATTTCCATTACAGTTTAGGAACTGGGGTAGTATCTATAGTAACGCAGTGTAGGCGGAGCCGTGACGTGATCTTCAGAGAACCCCAGAAAAACAACACAGCCGTTAGCTGTTAGCACTCAGAGCTCACAGCTCCTCATATATGTTCAGAAACTAGACAAAAGTTAAACAAGTACAAACCACAGACTGCCTGTGTCATGGTGAATACAGTCGCTGCTTTATTTATGTCTGTATAGGCCGTTGTTGTGAGTGTGGACGGTCGGAGCATATACTGCGTTAGCTTAGCCAATCTCCATTTAGAACACACGCATTTTAAAAGGTTTTTCGCCTGCCGTCTGTCTGCAGACTTGTCAAAGCATTAATTCATGGTTTTTACTAACCGGTATCAGTATGTTGTTACTTCGGCATCATTTTGAAACGTGTATTACAATTAAATCACGGTCAAATATGTCCATCTTGTTGTAGTTGTAGCCCCCTTGCCAGCGATGCTCTCTCTAGTTTAGCATACTCAGCCCGACTCAGCCTCGTTGTCTCTGGCCCGAGACCCACGATTTTATGAGGCCAGAAAAACTGTGAATTAGGACCCGCCGGCCGGTACTCGGCCAAGTGGAAACGCAACCAAAGACGTCACAGCCCTCTTAAACCGTGCTCCGCGCTGTAGTGGAAACGCGCCATTAGTAGCCTAACAGCAGGGACAGTTAGCTACATAGCTAGCAGTGAGTGAGCGTTCAGACACCGGCACACACACTCAAACGGACTTGTGTGCCTGACTGACTGTACCAACATGCTTTCATGATTCTGTTTAGATATGCAAGTATAAGCCATGATAGCTTATTTTATTAACACGCTAATTTGATATGAAAATCAATGGAGGCTGAGTTTACTACTTCTCTTTGTAGGAAAACCTACCGTCCATGACTGCCCCTGAGCTGTGTTTTATTTGTTAACTTCATATTTTTTATTTCCTAAAACATTTATTTTCCTCTCATATTAACAATGTGGATCATTGAGACAGCGTGGTGTCCAGAGGTCTTATCCCATTTTCCCACTTCCTCTGAGGGGACAGCATCAGATCCACGGAGGGGGGGCATGAAGAGAGACCTGCACCATCTTCATCCATGCTGTGCGTTGCTGTTATCACTTGCTCAGTGTCATTTCATTTGACCAAATGTCTTTATACATTTAATAGATTTTATTATTATCCACCTTTTTGTTTTATGTCCTTTTATTTAAAACATTATTTGAGACTTCATCTTCTGGTTCAAATCTAAATAAATGTAATGTCACTCTTTTGTCTTTATTCTACATGAAAATGTTAGAGATTCCATTCAAATCTGTTGATTATTCATACCTTCCTCAGGAATAGTATGTCGAGTTTTTACTGCTAAATGTATATCATTTTCTCACAGGATATAGAATGAGACAATAGTTTTTATCCATTGTGTATGAATAAATGCTTCAGCTCTTCAGACCAACATAGTAAGATGTGAGAATGTTCCTAATTGTGTTGGTATGCTACCTAGGTCTGGTCTGTTTAATAAAGCAAATCTGCCACTTTTATATTGTAGAATTTGTTCAATTAAAGCAGTCTTTAATTGTTTGTCCTAAACATAGCAATATATGCTTTTGAAATAACATGTCTTTGAAAAAATAACAGTATACAGTTTATATTGTGTATCACCTTTAGCTTGAAAATGCATAGATGTGTTTTTTTTATCTATAAAATAAATAAATAGACAGACAGACACTTTATCAATCCCAAATTGGGAAATTATTTTACAGCAGCAGTGTATTCAGGTGTTCAGGTATTAAAATATTTAAAGTTGGAACAAAGTATAAACTACACAACACAAATATAATGCACAGCAATCCATAAGATAAGTCCGATATTTTCATGAAAACTCCCCAGGAGGCACCGACACTAACGTGGGCGAGTGGACTCCGGAGTTTGCTGCATGAGTTGCACTGTATGATCTGTGGTGTAGTGGGCTGTCACTCAAAAAACTGAGTAGCCAATGGGGACGCACCCCTGAAAGTCCCGCCCACCTGGGACGTTTGTGTCAGAATCGAAAACAAAAATTGAAGGAGCGCAAACGAGAAGAGCTGCAGCGAGAGCAAAAGTCTGATCATTGAGAAAGAAGCAAAGAGAACCGCAAACAAAAAGATATTTTAAAACAAAGAAAAAAGACTTATAGTTTACATGATTACACAAATGATTTGTTTGCAACTTATAGTTTTATTTTTTAAATTAAATTGATTTAGCTTGACTCAGTTTTTTTTTCTCTTAAACTTTTAGTTTTGCTTGATTCTGAGAAAGTGTTGCTTTATCTTTATGACACAAAACTAATCCCATAAAACTGGAGCTGTGTACAGAGAGGAAAAAAGGAGCGAAACAGACGTAAAACTTTAAAGGTGTCCTGATTTAGTTTGTGAATGAAAGCTTATTTTTTATTCATTACCGAATCTGCACTGCGCATTAAAGGTGGGGTAGGTAATTTTGGAGAAACCAGCTCGAGTTCGCTAGAATTTGAAAATACACAGCCGGAACAAATCTGCCACTTCCTTACAGAGCCCCTCCACACAAGAACGCGCACATGACCAATGAGGGCACGAGATAAGTTTGTGCACAGATGGAAGGCTGACAGGCAGGTAGGCCATCCAGTTATTTTAGCCGGGTCGTGCTTTTTACAGTACTACGGCTTCCACAGATGAATTTTTTTTATGGATTTTTTGTCAAAGCACTTAAGATATTCATTGCTATCGGGATGTTAAGAGCATTCCATGGAATATAACAAAAAGTGTATCTCGAGCCCGTTTCTCAAACTTACCTACCCCACCTTTAAGCGGCTGGTTATGCATTTGGGGGGGGGGGGGTTGGCTGCATAAATTAATAAGAAAATGCTTAAATTAATAAGACGAGAGAGTTTCGGCTGGAGAGTGCGTGCGGACCTGTCGGTTAGATAACAGGCGTGTGCAAGTCCTGCATCTATATGATACAAATGTGCAGTGGCGACTGGTCATTAGGGGCAGGTGGGGCACAGCCCCACCTAGTGTCAGCAGAAAGTATTACAAATAATGATTACAAAAATGCAAAAAAAAAAAAAAAAAATATATATAAAATATATTTTAAGATCATGTTTAATCATCTGATTCGTCTGTACATTGCTGTTTTAGTCTGTGTTCTTCTAATTAGTGTGTCTACAGTCACAGTGTGTGCCTATTGAGCTGTTTAGAGCCATGTGGGACAAAACCTGATTATGCCCCTTCCTCTCGCTGTGAAGTGAACGTGACTGTAAAAACTACACTGCGCATGCTCAGAGTATTTTGTAATGTAATGTGTGTGGCAAAAAAATAATGACCAGAGGGGCACGGAGCTACCATCCCCACCATACGTCATCTCAAATCATTCAGAGCTGATTGGCTGTAAGTACGTGTGCCGCGAAAAGTGTGCTGTGTGAAGAGGAGACGAGAGAGCTGCAGTGGCGCGTCCTAAAACCAGGAAGTAAGCACAAAAAAGCAATGAGATTTCTCCAGAGGATTTTAGAAAATAGCTCAAAATAAGATCTGTGGGAAACGTACCTGTTAGATAAATGCACGTTTTGATTAGCCGGATAACATCCACATGTCTACCCTACTTTTATAATTTTTTTATCATAAATCTATGGATTAGATTTATGATAGACTTTTGAAACTACAAGAAGATAAGGAGGACTTTTACAAAAAAGTAATAGAAATGTTTGTCCAGAAGGATAGGAAAATGGACTTCATCTTCAAGTCAAGGTAAGACCGCCATTTTATTGAAAATGGGATCTTACTAAGAGAGAACAATTCAATATTTAAATGATAAAATTACATTTTTTGGGTATCCTTTTGTTGAACTGTCTGTTTAAAATTAATCGAAGCATCAGACAAAAAAAGCTTTTGAAAATAATATTATATTTTGGTTTAGGTCAAAATATAATATTTGTAAACCTGAAGAGTCAGTGCCAGTGCCTCACCAGCCATGAACCTCACTGCACGTCACTGCAGAAGCTTATATATAGACATCTAAGTTTTTTGTGCCCCACCACTTTTGTACATATAAAAACGCCACTGCAAATGTGTAATGTGTAGTGTAATAATCAAAACAGTGGCACGTTGCAAACAAACTGAACAACAAAACGGATCAATATGTTACAATATGTTTACCAAGTGACCGCCTCTATTCAACACAACATTAAAACACTACTTATTAAGCTAAATATTAGCTTATTTTGTTGAGGAAATGTTCAAGCAGCTGTGTGAGCAGGTAGGCGTAGAGCCGCTGCTGGCACGTGGAGCATTAATCACGGTGTGCTGCGCGTGCACTTGAGCTGAAACGCTAAGTGCTTAATAGTGAGGGTCTCATGGCTTCTACATCGAGAAAGCACTGCAGGAATGACCAACCCCGTAACCAGCCGTGAACACTGGTCTGCGGAACGCTAAAAGACACTGTGAATTTTAACTTAAGGCGCTGTCCATGCTGCTGAATGGCCCCGCGGCGAGAGGACCGACGAGCCCACGAGCGTCATCCTTTCCCTGTTTCATACCTGAGCTCTCGAGGATGATGGACGTCTACACTTTCGACAACACATTTCAAGGACTTGCGGATTTAAAACCTAAATGAAGAATCCACTTCGGCTTCGACAACATGTTCCTGAACACATCATTTGTCACGTTCTTTCACTGGCTATCTATTTACTGACCACCTCGACCCCGAAACAGCCAGTGACCATTCATTCATTCATCAAAGAAAATGAACTGCTGTGAATTAGTTGCCCTTCAAGCGTAGGATATCTGCAATTTATTCTAAGAGGAGCAGCGATACCCTTCGAGAAATGGCTCGCCTGCTTGTTTTGGTCAACTCCGTGGTCCTGTTGCTTTTTGGCAGCGGCATGTTCTTGGTAGGAGCAAGTAAGTGAACGCCTCTACAGCAGAGGAGTCAAATCAATGATTGTAGCCTTGTAAAATGTGCCATTAGCCATGCTCTAAGTGTTATAAAGCTGCCACTGCGATAACGAGGCTTTTTCTTGGAATTTAATCTGCACCTGATGATTCACTTTATTCATGAATTCAAATTAAACAAGATATGAATATGTTTCTACGCAAAGGTCTACTTATAGCTCGTCCCTTAACCCCATGTTTAACCACATGTAGAACAGATTACAAGATAACCTGTTTTAACCTTTTGAATCAATTACAAAAAAAGGACATTGAGTTTATTTTTTTGCATTCACGAATATATAATAACCTTTAGTATAACCTTGGCAGTTTGCCCTATTAGGCATCTTATAAAAAACAGCTTGTTTAAAGCATGAAACCTATAATGTCCTATAAAGTAAATCTGCACTAAAGCCACATCCAGCCTTTTTTCGTTGCCTGATCACTTGCAAGACACTTTTTCTCATTTGTTAGACAAATTGTTAAATCACTGCGTTAATGAACAATGTGAAAATGTGTAAAGGCTCTCATAAGTGACCAAAATATACAGGGGCATTCACTTTCTTATAATAATGTGCCATAGAAACACCAGTCAAACATGAAAGATAGAGATTGCTTGTCTTGCTTCAACTGTAGTAGGTGGTCTTATTTTTCAGTATGAGCACCAATTATAAGTACTTCTGCATTATTTCCATTGCAAGCTTGGAGTTTCAGACTTGCTTTAATGTTAACAGTTTTTATTTCTGTAGCAGAAATATTTCTATCTGCCTCTTTATGCGTGCATCTCCAGCATCTCTGTCTTTTTATCTACCTGTCTACCTCTATCACTTTCTCCCTTGCCTCTCAAGGGAACTGAGACTTACATGTGATAGCGCCTTGAGAAAATCAGATTGGCACTTCACCGTTTTCTCTGTGCCTGATACAAATATTCCGAGCTTTTGTCATATTCTGCGCTGATATGTGAAATGCAAAAAACCTTTCTGATCTCAGTTCAGTTCTGCATGGGGCTGTCAAGAGCAGGAAAAGCCACTGTTAAAATAATAAACATGGCACTCATAAATATAAAGTTGGCGGTTGCAATGAGCTTCAAAGCAAACTAATAAATGTTGAATTTGTTACTGCCAGCTGCAGTCATGCACGAGATGATGGGATTCACATTCAGTGGATTCTATCAATTAATTGTAAGCTTCTTTGGTTCATAATGATGTCTATACAACATTAAGAAAAGGGAACATTTTCAGTTTAGACCTTCAATCATTAAAATCTGCTTACAATTTTTTCTATTAGTTAATTAGAGTAATAGTTGTCAATTCGTTTTCATTTCATCCATTAAGCATGCAACTTAACCAGATATTCATGACTTAAAGTGAATATGTTGCTTCCTTTATAATACATCGTTGAGAAAACCCCCCCCCAGTATGATGCCACAAGGTCTTTCTAACCCAAACAAGGTATTTGATTTCTCTTTTTCCAACCTCACAAGATGTACTTGAATGCGGGTAACAATATTTACAGTCTGAAAACAAGCTAGAAAATGAATCCCACTTACCACCGGCGCTCGGCAAACATGAATTAGATTTTATTGGATTTATCTGGATGGCGAGGCTCATATCATTCTTGAAATTGGCAATCTGCTGTTCATAAACCTGGTGACGCATTTTTGACAAATAGACGTTTGGTATTAGCGCAGAATCCATCAGAGTTGTAATAATTGTATCTGCTGTCACATGGCAGACATTTAAACAAAAATACAGACTACGGTGTGTGGAAAAACTGGACTATTTATCTTGTATCTGTTTTAGAAGCTCACACTTGTTGGTGTCTTGTTTTCGCCATCTGTCTAACCAGTAAACACTGAGCTGGAGCCAATAAAATCAATGCTACAAACTCTGTAAACAATAATTCTGCTCATAAAAGCTTGACTTAACAGTATTAGAATCATAAATGTTAGCTTGCGGCTTGAAATGCTCATGGGTTTGGCCATTGATTACATTCACCTTAGACTAGCACCTGGTCCCATCTGGTCCAAACGGACATATCTCAGCCTCTGAGTCATTGAGAAAAAGACGGAGTGTACCTAAAGGGAGGGACAGTACAGTAATTGCATCTACAGTGGAGAGGCTCTAAAATAGACGGGAAAAGCATAGGATTTAGCCACGCCTGGCTGGACAAGTCCTTCCATCTGTATCCATCTACATACTGTAGCTACTTCAAACAGTTGCACTAGACACTACTGAAGATTTAATCAAAGACCACATAGCATCACTGTTGCCTCCCACATGAGAAAGAAAGGCAGGATCTCAGAGGGGAATGAAATTTGGCAATGAAACAAGAAAAAATGGTCTTCAAAGGTAATATGGGGGCAGACAGTGCTGCGGCTGAGATTAAACCAGCATGACATTGCTTTAGATTTTCACTACCAGGCGATTTGCAATAGGCCTGCGAGCAGATGTGCGACAACCTCCTGCTGTGCAGAGGACATTTAGACATCCCACGACTGGGTTGTGAAACACATCGGGATGAAGCAGTTTGAACATTCACAGCCGCTGTTATGAGTTATTGCCTTCATGTCAGAGGATATATTACATCTGCAGCCATTATATGTATTATAAATGGATTACATTACATGCAGCCCGTTAAACTCACTGGCTTGGAGGTAATTGAGACTGAAATATGAGCTTTAATATGGTGCACAACCTTGGTAAAGCGCAGTGTTTTCCATTTTAAAGCAATATGACTTATGAGTTTTTATTGTAATTGATCAATCATTTGGAACATGTATTGCAGAATAACGAGCTGAACACTTAATCATGTCAGACTCGATATAGTTTGTAAAGGTCTTTTTTTGGGGCATTAACTGAGTTACAGAACAAATTGTGACACTTTCAACTGGAAATGAGTGCATGAGATGGAAATCATAGAAATAATTGGGTTCAAAAGAAGTTAAAGTTAAATCAATCTGCAACTGATACTAACTGCAGCCAAAATAACAGTTGAACTTGCTATCGCACCCTATAGAAATGTGTAGAATTAGGATGTCTACTGTGCAACTAGATACAGCATCCTTTCATAAATTGTAATGATATTTAAGGTCCCTAAAACAGAAACAGAAATTAGAGTTCCCTGGTTGTATTTTTGTATTAATTCATCAGTGCTATTAGTTTGGGAAATAGTCTTTTATATTGCTTTTTCATCGGATACCATTTCAACCCTATTGCTTTTCTTCGACATTGAACGATATGCAAAATGGAAATGACACGTCATCTATCAGATTTTGTTCCCGGTGAACCGGACAGGTGATTTTCCCATTTTCTACTCACAACTAATATTTTCTGCTTAATCAATGTGTCATGGTTGCCCAAGATGCTTTGCGACCAAACGCTGCACAGGCATTGGGATGAATCAAAATGTTGAATATTGGACCATAAAAGAAAATATATCACTTCTGTTTTGCTGTGAATATTCAGTATCGGCAACCAATAAACTAACTATGCGTAAATCAAAATAAATTGCCCAATCGTGCGTCGCAAGCAAATATACAGTAGAGAACAAAATATGAGATGCCAGCTCTAACAAATCAAACTGGGCTCCTTTCCACGTGGCTCGTCAGCCATTCAGAGATCCAGCAGCACTTTCACTCTCTCTCTGTGCACTCCGGTTAGATGGGGAGTAGCTAATGTGCCGGGCTTTGGCTACACGTATGATTCACTCTGGCACTGGCCCACATCCCAAGAGGGGCTCACCATTTGTTTGCACTGACACACGCCTCGGACGCTTTGACCTATCGCTGTTTGATCGCAGATCTTACATAACACATTACGTGGAGTGGGTCGTACTCAGGAAACGTGGCAGCTAACAAATATTAAAGGTCACCTATTGTGCAAAATCCACTTTTTCATGTCTTTTATACATAAACATTTGTTCAACACTTATTGAAGGTGGGGGGGTCGGTGCAGTCTCTGATGTGTTGTGGAAGGGAGTTCCAGAGGGTGGGGGCAGCGATGGAGAAGGCTCTGTCCCCCCAGGTTCGGTGCTTGGTTCGTGTGGGGATAGAAAGGAGGTTGGCTTCTGATGAGCGAAGGCTGCGGGAAGGGGTCTGATGGTGGATCAGGTCGGTGAGGTAGGGGGGGGGGGGGGGCTGGTTGTTGAGAACTTTGTGTGTTAGCAGAAGGATTTTGAAGTGTATTCGTTGACGGACAGGGATCCAGTGCAGGTTTTAAAGGACGGGGGTGATGTGGTCTCTGGAGCGGGTGTGGGTGAGGAGGCGGGCAGCGCAGTTCTGGATATATTGCAGTTTATTTAGAATGTTGGATGATATTTAACACTTATTACTGTACAGTAGATGGAAACATCAAACAAGCCAGAAGACAACATGGGGAGGGGAATGGGACCTTACATCAATGAAAATATTTGCATTCGAGAATTTGCTCCTGAGCTCAATGTGAATACATTATTGGAAGTATATTTTATGAGCTTGTAGAATATGAAATGAATGGCTAAAGCTGCTAAGAGTCTTCCATCTGGTGCGGAAAAGTCACCTTACCCAGGTAGTCCAAGTTGAAAATATAATTGACCTGCTCAACAACCTGCAATGCCAACTGCATCATATAGGGCGTCGTTACTCATACATTACTGATGATTCATGGCCTGCTTTAACTGCCCTGTCACCTGCTCCATCACCAGCAAATGAGCCACAGACGATGCATCACGCTCACTGGCTGCTATATTTGCACATGCTTTGCTGTCTGCAACCCCCATTACCTAAAGGACAAGGAGACATTAATGTGTCCTGTCTTAGATAAATGTTGCACCTGATTTTGAAGTGGTCTGTATGACAATCTAGCAAATGGCAATGTAAGCTTCATAGTGTTAACTGGTAACTAGTCAGATTTTATCCAAAACAAATGATTATCTTTATCATTTTTGGCAAAGTGTGTATTGGTCACGATGCATTTTACAAAACAACAACTTCGATGTTGCTTTTAGAAATACAAGGTGGTTCTCTGTGGGCATTTTAAAATAAAGAGAAGTGTAATCCTTGTACATATATATATATATATAGCTATATGAAACATGTTATGAGGGAATTGTTGATTGGCTTTGTTGGCCAATTAGCATCAGTATGTTGGTTTGTTATCTCACTGATAATAGATTGAATTATAACATCATTAGCATGCTCATCATACAGTATGTACGTGACACAAACATTAGCAGTGATTTAGAAACAAGGACACAGAAGCCATTACTGGAATATATATGTATGACTCACAGCCCCGTAGCTCTCCAAAGATCAAGGACAATATATTCTTTATGCGAGTTGCGCTCCCTCTTAACCTTCTGCACATCTATCTTCACACATAAGTACCTGCTTCCATCCAATCCAATCCAATCCATTTTATTTATATAGCACATTTAAAAACAACAGAGTTGAACATCAACAACTGTATAAAAACATAGCATAAATACATAAAAAACAGACAGGACATGAAACAAATGTAAAACACGAGACAATGAAACCAGATCAGAATCCACAGACTGAAAAACTCTCCTACATGACGTAAAAACAATACAAAACACTAGTAAGATAAAAACCCAAATGTAAAAGCACAAGTGTCATCTGGTCTGTAAATGCCAGGGAAAAGAAGTGGGTTTTTAAACGAGATTTAAAAACAGGCAGAGTTGGAGCAAGTCTAACCTGGAGAGGCAATTCGTTCCATACTTTTGGAGCTGCAACAGCAAAGGCTCTGTCTCCTCGCTGCTTTAGCCTTGATTTTGGGACTACCAGAAGTAATCTGTCAGCCGACCTCAGTGACCGTGTGGGTGTGTATGGTTTTAAAAGATCTGCCAGGTACGGTGGGGCTAAACTGTTTAGGGCTTTGTATGCGAACAGTAACATTTTAAATCGTATTCTAAAACTGACTGGTAGCCAGTGTAAAGAGGCGAGTACAGGCGTAATATGTTCACGCCTGCCTGTCCTTGTAAGGAGGCGCGCAGCAGCATTCTGGACCAGCTGTAGGCGTGACAGGGAAGCCTTGCTTACTCCAATGTACACAGCATTGCAGTAATCCAGTTTAGTGGATATAAAACAATGTATTACTTTCTCAAAGTCATTAAAAGAAAGGAAAGGCTTGACCTTTGCTAAAAGTCTTAGCTGAAAGAAGCTGGATTTTACCACAGAATTGATCTGTTTGTCTAGTTTAAAATCACGATCAATCCGTACCCCCAGGTTTGTGACAATCCATAAATAATACTCATTAAATGGGCAAAAGGAGACAGACGTAACCTCCTGACCTCTTGATACTTAAAGCCAGGCCCTCCCCTCTCCGCTCTCTCTACAGTGGGAACACTCATTTCCTCTCCACCACAGGCTAAGCATTACTCTGGCCTCTTGTTCAGCTCATTCGCTCCCCTTCAATTACCAATCTCTGACCTTGTCATGAGCCCAAGGAACCAAGCGTGTTGTGTTTGACCTTGACCCCTCCCTATGCAGTTCATAATGCCACGAGTGCACTGCTGGGATGAAATATTGTCCTTGTACAGCAAATGCCTTTGGCTATCATCTCAAGATAACTGTGTTATGGGTTATGAAGCCCAGGCTCTACGAGTTAATAAGAGCGTTTGAAATACAAATGGACTGTACTGTCAATTAACATTCCCTTGACTAGCTACCGAAAGCTTCGTATACAAATCGTACTACAGGTAGTTACAGAGCAGCTCTGATACTGTAATTACAACTCATTAGGAAAAGCATTAAAGTATCAAGCTTTGTCTTATCTGATGCGATCCCCATAAGATCCCCTATTATTTTCTCATTATTTCTCACAAATCTGACATCTCAAGACATGTCCACTCACGTTAACCTCTCAACATTGCTCCAGTCACTTTCTGCGACAACACACAGAGTCCATTAGACCCAGAGGACAGCCTCCAGGTCCCCATCGGCACGGCCAATCCCATTTCATCTATCCCTCTGATCTGAGCTATTGTTAGGAGACTGTGAAAACGTATAGGGCGCTTTATTAGATCTGTCCCCTTCAAGCGCTCCTGCCTTTGCTTCTCAGGCTTTAGTCCCACTTTGCAATCAACGTTTCCAATAGCAACCACATCATGATAGATGGTTGCAATGTACCAGAATGTAGAAACGTAACCATGCCTGAGTGAGTTGGACATGAAATGGACACCATGGTTACTTTGGTCAGCTCGACCGACAAGGCTGTTTAAGATAAAGGACATAAAACATGAGACATTGATGCAGGTTTGATTTAAAATGCAAGCAGGCAATTATAACAGCTAGTAACAAGGACACTTAACTAAGGTGTTTGAATTTACTCATCGGTAATCTTATTGTTTGGTCAGAGGAGCGGATACAGTATTGTGTTGTTTTGAGTGGCCACACTGAGGCTGCCTTTGAAAACAGTTGTCAATGTCAACCCAATGGTTTATTGGTCTAAGAGGATCAGTAAACAGTAAAGCTGGTATCTGGACATGAAAGGAATAACAGAAATGTGCTTTGGTCAAACAAAACTCCATATAGCCCATCAAAAAAGAGGCAACTTCACTGTAGTCCAGTGCTTGAACGGTTCACGAGGTAAAACTTATCAGAAGATCGTCGTTTTACCTCGGCTACAATCTGCTGCATGTTGTAATGTGCTTTTAAAGATTGTGAACCCAAATTGCTCCCGAAGGCACAGCTAGTGTGTGAGTTTGTATGAATGAACATGAGATAAGATACTGAAGAGCAGTTTGGCACCTTGTGTGGTAATTGGTCAATGTTGATATGTGGTTTTAATGCGCTTTGAGTGGTCGGAAGAAAAGAAAGGTGCTTTATAACTGTTGGTCTATTGAATATTTAGCTTTTTATAACATGAGACCTGGCAGTTAGTGTACCATGATGACACATACAGTCAGGTTATAGTGTTGAGTTCAGTGCCAAGACTTTCCAGGTGCAGCGTGGACACATATGGCTTGGATCATTTCATATCTGGTGGATTAACAGAAAGTGTATTTCTGTTTCCTTTCCGTCAGACCGGCCACCGGCTCCTGTTAATGTGTCCGTCATGCACCTGCGAGCCGACTCGGCAACTGTATCCTGGGAAGTTCCAGAGGGAGATATAATAATCGGCTTTTCGATCTCACAACAGGTAAGTCCTAAACTTGTATTATGAATATGGCGAAACATGGACGGGTTGGCAGAAAACCCCCCATAAGGGAAAATTGCATTAGTTTTAGATTTGTGACTTGGCATTGAGCCTTTGTCATGTCCTGTTGAAATGTTGTTGGCACACCATGCAGCGAGTATGAAGAAGTGCACCTGGAATCTGAAACCCACCCTGTCATCGTTCGTGCCAGCCAGAGTGACTGAAAACATATTACTCGGACAATTAAATGATAATATACTGTAGTCACTAACTGAAGTCCATAGAGGAGTTTTGATCAAACACTATATTTCATGAGTTTGTCCAGCATAATGAGTAAGTATTAGCACATATGCACAGGCTCCCAGATAAATGAAGATGTGTCTTCATCTCGGTGTGTATTCTTGGGTAAAGCTTTGCTTGACATGCAGAAAGGGTGACTAAATATTGCCTTCAAGCTTGGAGTCAGAATCAAACTTGGCATGGTCGAATTGTCAAGAGAAAACAAGGGCCACTTTGTGAAGCCGCCAAACTGCAATTGTGAGGCTAAAACGATTTCATAGGCTTAATATAGGAAAACCAATAAATGTTAACCCTGAATGGGTGAACACCATATGTTTATGTAATTGTGTTTATGCTTTAAAGCATCATGCAACCCTTTAACTTTGCTTTCACTTAGTGTGACTGATGGTCTGTGTACAACACCAAAATGACCCAAACACACAGATGTTTGTCATGGTAAGCATCTTAATTTGATGTATATCGTGGTAAATAATTACATTACTCATAGTTTACAGAGGTCTTTTAGTCGAGCAGGGCCAGAGACTTCGACCTAGAGCCACACATAGATCTGGATGATACAGGAGAGTCATTCTCACAGCTTTGGGTCTTTGTTGCTCCAGTAACCTTCTGAAAGGTCATAGACAAAGTCTGAGACTTTGATTAGTCTAGACGGCAAGTGCCTCGAGTCACGAGCTTTCAGAATATTGACTGCAAATGTATAATTCCCAGTCAAGACTCCATACGGCTAAACTAAAGTGCCAACTGTTAATATAATAAGCACACAGCATGTCGTTCTCCAGCAAACTTTGGTAGGTAACCTCCGTCTCACATTATCATGGCTCCATCAAGAGGTACATGATTGTTTTTTTAGCATTTTTACGAAGGTTTCTTCCTTAGGGACACATTTGCAGGACTGTTTCTTCACCCTGATTACCAACACTGTATTGATTATTGCATCTATTCAATAGATCAATCTACTTTGTTGTACTTTATCCCTGTTCAAATCCCTAGAGGCAGGAGGGACACATGCAACGATTCATTCGGGAAGTCAACACCACCAGCCGCTCTTGCGTCCTCTGGGACTTGGAGGAGGAGACAGACTACATCATCCAGGTCCAGTCAATTGGCCTTCATGGGGAGAGCCAAGCCAGCAAGAAGGTCCATTTTCGAACCCTCAAAAAGACAGATCGCTTCCCCTCCAACAGCTCCAACCAAGGTAAGGAGCTGTGGCATACAGTATGGTTGTTTGCCTCTTGCAAAGATCATTTGAATACATGTGTTTCTGTCTGTGTTAAAGGACAATAATAAAACGTGGTTTGAAGAGTAGGGGCTCGTGTTTTCACATGTGCTAAAACCTTTCTTTGAAGTTAAACGCTAAGGCTGGCCATATGTTTTTTTAATATCGTCCTCCAACCCTCTAACAACACTAAAACCAACAATCAATCCTTCTTGCTAACTCATATTGTTTGTGTAGCCACATAGTTTATAGTTCCTTAAAGTGGAACTCTATTATTGTTAAAAAACTACTAACAAAACTAAAAGTCTATCCATTAGATCCATTAGATATGCTACTAACACAGTCTCCGCCAACCAGTGAAGTGGATCAACCTTTGACCTTCAGATTATAAACAGTTTATCATGACTATGTTGATGACTGTGCCTAATTTGAAGACATTTCCTTACATGCTACTGAGATATCACAACAAAAGCACTTCTTTCAAATTAAATGTTTGTTGTAATGAAGACATACACACTTCACCCAGTGTCAGTAGTGGCTGTATTCTTTTTTCAAATGACTTTTTATGCTTTTGCGCTACAATACTGTAGTTCTGTGGCGTGATGAATAATATATATCATTCTTCGGATACACAGGCAATACTTGTTAGTCTGATAAATTCATTGTGTCTTCATGGGATATGTCAATGTCAAAAATATATAATTTAACTGCCAGGTATTGAGTTGGTTCAGTCTATCAAATGCTATAAAAGTTTGTCGAAATGCAGTATTATCGATAAGGTCACAAAAGGTCACTGCATCGATCTTTTCAGAGTGTTTCACCTCACTCTGTTACGCAACATAAAGCTTCCCCCCCCCGAGGCGAACACAGCAGCAACCCATTACAGATGCTTTTCCTGCTCTCGCGCTCAAGCCTCTTCTGGCTGTTGAATGCTTTTAAGCGGCCTGACATCGAAAATGAGCTACATTAAAGTGCAAGTAACCTAAAGCCTCCTCTCACGCATGTATATTTTATCCTGTAGACCATTTCATTATTGACAGACTGTTCAGGCAACTCTTCTGAATTTAAGCAACTCTATATAACTCGGGGTGAACTAATCAGATTCAAACTCACACTCTGAAGCACTTTGGATTCAGTGTCTGGGCTCATAGGCTGGAGGGAAATATGAACACCATGACCAATGGAGAAAGGGGTTAGTAATTCTCAATTCTTCATGGCAGAGGAGGAAAGTGTCAGAAAAAGCCATTCACTCTCAATAGCCGCGTTCACACCGGAGTACTTTTCCCCGTACTTTTCCGTTTAGTTCCGTTAGTACCCCTTATGTTGCGTTCACACCAAAAAGAGTACTTAGTGCCGGGAACTTTTACCCCCATTTTTAGTGCCTGCTAGAGAGGTGGTACTATCCTGGGGGGGAAAAGTGCCCCAGTTCTGATTGGCTGGGCAAATTGCAAACCACGCCCCGTAAAACTCTGAAAAGTTTTGTGAAGCCGCCATTGTATTTGTGGCATTAGCATTATTAGCATTAGCATTCGCCCCGCGCACCAACGGAGAGAGAATAACTTATGGCAACACAAAAAAAAACATGGGAGCGGTGGAGTGATGAGGAGGTGTCGGCGTTCTGGGGATTTACTCGGAAGGCTTCAGTAGAAGCGGCCGGAAGTCCCCAACTCCGGGGACTTCGGGCGGCAGTATACGCCGTGAAGTTGTTTGCAACCAGCCAGTAAACCCAAAGCAGAAGAAGATGAAGTGACGTCAGCGGCTCATTTGCGTAATCTTCCCTCAGGGAAAAGTACTCCGGTGTGAACGCGATTGGTACTTGGTGCCCTGGGGTAAAAAGTGCCGGGGCACTAAGTGCCGGCACTAAGTACTGCAAAGTACGCGGTGTGAACGCGGCTTATTTTAGGCAGTTGGGAAGGCTACATTTCAGAGAAAAGCCCTTCTCTACATTCCTTTAGCCATGATTATGGGATGAGCCAAATCTATTAACAGTTTAAACAATGACAGCTTGAGTTTGGCACCGTTCTAGAAACAGGCCTGCTACTTCAAACAATGTTGGCTTGTGTTATATTATGGGGTGGTGTAGGTTATGAATATAGAAAGTGCTGATGCAGGTGAATCATACACGTCTTCCTTTTTAGCTGACTCAGGGTTGGTAACATAAATTGAGCTGGCACCATCGGTGAAAGAAAAAGAAACACATTCAGGCTCAAGTTCAGCTGAAGAGCCTGTACACTGTCCATTTAAGTCATACAGAAACATTGAACTACTTAACTCTTGCTATACATTAAATACACACACATTTGTATCTGTGTTTATATTAGTTAAAAGCAATGGATTTCAGAGAGTTAACTATCCATGAATATCTGAATGAAGCGCTTAGAATGAGAATATTTCACTTACTACTTTTGGAAAAGGTTTCACTGTGCACCATTAATCATAATTTGTAGCCCCCACGAGTCATGCAAGTGGGTCAGGAAAACAGCCCACTCAGTGCATGAGCTTCATTTGTGGGAGTTTGTTTTGGTAAATGTAAAAGCCAACAGTGTCAGCTTTCCATAAATCTAATGCCTGCACTGCTGACTTCCCATGTCCCAGTTTCAAAGTCCAATCACATCACATTTCTTGTGTCGGGTTTATGACTCGGCTTCAGTTTTCATATAAGGGTCTGTGTTGTTGTATATTTTCACTCTGATAATGTATGCAAATGTATGCAGACTTACATTTTTATTTTAACCACAACAAGCAGAAAACTTTTGTAAATGAACTTTTGCTATATCAAATACACAAATGTAATTATCTCTTTTGAGACACCTCCAATACTTTTATAACCTCCATCCTTTCTCTTAACAAGCGTTTGCCCTCTCTGAAAGGATGTTTACAATGTTTCCTTCCAAGATAGCATCATACAGTATGCCTTAGTCATAAACCTTAGTGCATCTTAATTGAATAGGAACTTTTTTATATTCAGGATCCTGCCGCTGACCATTGCTCCTTAAACATTATTTGTAATCTAGTTGTGCATCCTATTGAAACTAAATTGATTTGAAGCATAGTCTAGGCATTCCAAAAAGCCATAGATATAATACCCATAAATCAATAATGCTTATATATTTTTCCTGAACGCAATTATCTTGAAAATGTAATTACATATCAGTGCATATGCAACTGAATGTACACCTTGCCAGAGCCAGATTCAGAATCAATCTATTTCGTATAAAGCATTTCCTGGCAAGATATATGCCAATTTGAATTTAAATAGGCTACTGAGGATCAATATGTCATTCCAAAGTCTATTTCAATTTGATTATTTCCATGGAAAGCTTTTAATCAGAGTATATATTTGTGTTCTCTGCTTGCCCTTCAAGAGTGACGTATGTCTCACTGTGGTCAGAGGAGGAGACTTTTTAAGATCAATTGTTGTCATATGTCGGCAGTTTATTAATATTCCATTAAAGTAATCAATTGCTCTGTATAACCTTCTGCAAACTAAAAAGTATCTTACTGAGGAGTAATCCCAGCATAATGGAGGTACAAGGGATTAACAATGTTAGATATTGGTATATGGGGTGTTTCTATTTGTGTGTCTACTGTACATTAGCATGCTGTATTGTTTTGCATGAACAGTGTCAGTCAACCTCCAATTAAATTATATAAAAAATTCCAAAACAAGCCGCCTCTGCGATTGTCACCTGCTCTCTTTCTGTTTCACAAAAGAGATCAAAACAGAAAGAAAGAATAATTTCAAAGGATGGATGCCTTGAGCAGTCAAATCTAAAAAAAATTAACATCAACCCATACTGATACAGATTTTATATCATAAATGAATTCACATTATACTGCACTGTACTCAGCTGTAGTTGAACCCACATGTTTAATACACTGTATAGCTACTGTAGGAGACATGTTTTCTTTTAAAAACACAGTTTCTAGGAGACATAATGCAATAATAAATCACAGGGTGCATCATTATGACACCAGTACAGCCCCCCCAGTGTGTTGTTACATGGCTTCCCGACACAGTTCACAGCCACAAACAACATGCTGGGATTTGGGGTGAGCAGAAGGAAGGTCAACCAATTATCTCGACACGAACTCTTTGAGTGCACCGAAGGCATCACAATCCATACGTTCCCGACTACAGCACAGCGTATATCTGAGTGTGGTAGCAATGCCACATGAAATATGTACGATACGGCAGCACAACATGTTATTCAGGTCATCATTTTGTTCCATCACTCGCTTGTATATTACATCAAATATGCACATGGTGAATATCAGCATGCTTCACAGTCAGCAGCACGTTTTTCAAATTAAGGATCATTAGATCAACACGGTAAACAAGAGCAGGAAGTTCAGATGGAAATGTGCAGAATACAGAAGCCTCAAAGATCAAATGAATTACTGTAACAGCCTGATACAAGTGGTTTCTCTATGATTAACTCTACTTTTCATATGTGCAGGGCCAGTTTATAATTCAGTGGGTCAGGTTCTGACAGAATGAGATGTGGGATAATAAAGTGGAGAGCAGCTCGTAGGTCGTACTTAGTGCTGAGCTGAGTCCTGACCCGGCATAATGTGTGCCTACATGCTGCTGGAAGCACATCTCACGCTAGCTGATAGATAACACAGGGGGCTCATTGCTGAGTTGTTTTGAACATTTCAGTCAGGAGCCATTTGTAATACCTGCACACTTAAAAGGGGAAGCAATTCACCTTCACTATTGGGTCAATAAAAGGTACATTTACAGTTAAAAAAAGGCAACTACTAACTGACAGCAGGGCATGAATAAGCAATATTCAACCAAACCGCTGAAACTCAGACTCAAAGGTGTAGCATTAGCATTTAGTTTATGTTATCTGCCATCTGTGTGTTTACGATGCCACTAAGCATCAAGGTATGTGTACGCTTTGATGGTTTGTTTATTGGATTTAATCCAAATTGTTACTTCTTTACATTCTGTCGTGTGCAAGTTCATTCATTTTTAGCGTTTAAGATTAAAATGCTCATGGAAATTGCCCTTTAAAGAGAAACTAGAACACAGTTAACAAGGCATTTGCAGACGTTTAGATGGAAGGTCTTTCAGAATACCAAAGCCTCAAGGTTAATTACTGACACAGCCTTCTACCAGTAGATTCTCTATGAAACAGCCTTCTCTTAGTAGTTGTATCTATGCATTTCAGTAGTTTGGTTAAACAATGTGTTATTGCTTTTATGGTAGTTAGCAGATGCCTTTATTTACTGATGACTGTAAATGTAGACAGTAGGGACCCAGTAGTAGAGGGCAAATCCCCTCTAAATTATGCAATGTATAACTTACGGTTCTTTAAGTCTGAATGGTACCAACAAAATAATCAGAAAATTGCTAAATTATTCATATAAAACAGAACTATACTGTATGTGTGTAAGCTACAATAACTTGCATTGATTGTCCTGACATACGTTGTTCTTCAAGAGTTCAATGACCCACAGTCAACAAAGACACAATGATTTGAGGCTATTTTAAAGTTACAACTCTACAACTTCCCTTTCTTCATTTACGTTTCCCATGCACACAACCAAGATGGCAGTAATTGACCCCACTTTGTAGCAGCCATCACGCCAAGAGAGCTGACAGTTTCCGGCCCAGTTTCCTGACGACTTGATTCACTGAAAGAAGCAATTGGGAAGAGTGGTGCTCTGGAAGAGTTCCATCCATGCGGGTTAAGAAATAGTTTGCAGAGTGGAAAAAGGCCCATAGTCAATCCACTTAGAGGATTAATGCTACAGGATTGATTTGTGGTAATGCCCAGCACATTTCCTGACTACGTTTTTTGTTAAATGGCATAGAAATCATGAGAAATGAAGAGCGTGTCAACTTTTACCGGTGCTAATTGACAGGATGTGGTCTTATCAGGACATCCAGAGAACAAGCTCTTCTCTTGTGAAGGGTAGTTCGGTTTTACTGACACTATGTCAAGACTTATGTGTTATTGTGTGTGATGTTTTTTTTACTGGATTGCATTTCAATGTCCAATGTATGTTGTTCTTTGTTGTATCAATTAAGGAAAGGTCAAAATGTTCAGTCCTCAGTATTCAGTAGTTAGACCTCGGAGTGTGTGTTGACTACAAATGTCCTTCCTGTGGTCTCTCTAGATGACCCCACTGTGCAGGGCCTGGATAAGTCCCGACATCTACAAACAGGAGAGATGATCATCATCGTGGTGGTCCTGGTCATGTGGGCAGGTAGGTATGCAGATTGTGTGTACAATAATAATGATTTAGTCTTTAAAAAAGCACTTACAAGAAAATACGTTATGTAGATATGTAGCTTGGTAATATGATCTTTTAAAGGAAGAACATTAAAGGCAATATGGTATTTCTTCATGGATAGATATACAATGAAACATACCTAAACTGTAAAAGAAAGCGTGCACGTCTTTTACCTTAATAAATACAGCAGCACTTTATCGATCACAGTAAGAGGATACGTATATTTTATGGTTACGGTTATAGTAAAAGTCCATATTTTATTGTGTGAATACAACATTTTACCACTAAAGAAACGCTGTTAGGACAATTTAAGTGTTCTGCTGGTGAGTTTAATTTGTGGTTTGCCCCATTACATTTTATGTCAGGAAGTAACAGCCTGAGGTGCTGAAATGAATTCCTGTTTACATAAGTGATTGTTTTTACCTGGATGTAGTTAAAAATGTTATTTTCCACAAATTGACACCTTCCTAGAGGTGTTTATTGTACTTGCAAATTACATTTCTTAAGTTTTAATAGGGCCAATTAATTTATTGAAACACTAGATTATATATCATTAGCTATATAACCAAGTCTCTCTATAAACAATCCTAGTACTATGTCCTGTTAAAGTAACACATATTTAAATTTGTCCCATCATTAATAGCCTCATTGGAGATTCGATATGATCTGATACCTATACATTCAAGGTAAAGCATATCATGTTATTGATTGGTCGGTGTCGATGGTGAAATTAAATGAAAATTCTGCCAAATCAGCTAAAAGAGAACAGATTGTTTCCACTGGAACTGCAACGTGTTAGCATTTATTGTTAGCCTCAATGATACAAACTAATGGAGCACACCTAAAAGAGGTTTTACACTACAGATTATCTTGTAGTTACATCAATACATCGACACAACAATCAATACACAGTCATCCAGAACAAGAGCTTTAAAATCCATATTCTGTAGTTAAAGTTTAGAAACCGGAGCATAGATTTTCCCTTCTAGACTTTTGTCAAACCATCATCATGCTGTCCTGTATATTCTCTGCCTCGAAGCTCTCCTTCCCTGCGTGAGTTTCTACTCCTTTGATGAAGTGTGCAGCTTAATGAAGTGTTGAGGCACAATGAGAAGTGGCAGATCTGACAGGCTGCCAGACGCCAGGTTTCACACCCCAGAGTATCAGAGCGAGATGTTAAATAATACTAATGAGAGAGACCGAAGGGACATGGAGAATATGAGGAGTGGGAGTGAAGGAATAAAAACACCTCATGTGCCGCGATCATAATGAGCTGCTCATTTCCAGTTTTAAAGTCCATTTTCCCTGCTTTTTTGATTCCCAGCCGGCAAAGATAGTTGTTTTTTCGCATTTTATTTTTGTATTTCTTATTTTATCACAATCATTTTGAGATTTTTTCAATCTTTAATCGCTTTTGCTGATTGGTTCAAAAAGTGCTTTCAATAAAACCATTATCATATGTGCAGATCAGTTGTTTTTGCTGAGCTCTTGAGGAAAATTGTGACTTTATAACAACATTACAATAAACTGTAATGTGAACCATTTAAATGCAAAATAATCACTTTTCAAATCACAGTAATGCTGCTGCAATTTAATCAAGCAACAAACCCGTATAAATGCCTACCATGAATATGTATTTGCTGTAAAAAGACATTTAGTTTCAGTGTCGCAAAGCACTTGCATTAATAATAATGTGTTAGTTAAATGAATTACACGTGCCTTGATTTCTTGCAGCTACAGTAATGTTCATCACCAGAACTTGATACCAGGGTCTGAATATTTAATGATGCGACTCTCATAGATATTCATAACCTCAGTGAAGCAAGGAAGGTATTTGTGCGCATTACAGTGTTTAGTAAACTGGAGGCAGTACGGCACCTGGCAGATTTCTTACTGTAGCAAAGCAAACTCCATGGAGAATAACTGTCTTCTAAGCTTTCCGATAAAGGCAGAGCTTCACACTCCCAGAGGAACAGAATTCCATTATCCGCATGGCCTTTCAGCATTAGAGGAAGTGGTGACATGTCTGAGAGTGACAGTCCCCCCGCATCACCGCTGAATTCCTATCCTCATTTGTGTGTGTGTGTGTGTGTGTGTGTGTGTGTGTGTGTGTGTGTGTGTGTGTGTGTGTGTGTGTGTGTGTGTGTGTGTGTGTGTGTGTGTGTGTGTGTGTGTGTGTGTGTGTGTGTGTGTGTGTGTGTGTGTGTGTGTGTGTGTGTGTGTGTGTGTGTGTGTGTGTGCCCATCTCTCTCCTCCCGGCAGCTGTGATTGCCCTGTTCTGCCGGCAGTATGACATCATCAAGGACAACGACTCCAGCAACAGCAGCAGTAAGGAGAAGGCCAAGCCGTCGTCGTCGGAGAGGAGCACACCGGAGCACCACAGCGGGGGGCTGCTGAGGAGCAAGGTGGGCGGGGTTTATCTGAATAAAAAGCTCTTTTTCATGCAGCTCTATGTGTAAACAAACAGCGTCTCTCTGTGTGACAGTGAGCCAGCGTACACAAAACCACGACCCTGACACTAAATGGAATTCAGCCTAGATCTTACTTATTATTTTCACGTTTCCTCTTCTTATTTAGACGTGTCAAGGATTCCATTTCATGTTCCGTGTCGTGCTGTTGGTAAACAAAATGACCTTCCAGCAGAAAGAATTTCACAGTTTAGTGCCCACCTATTGGCACTTAGAAACTGGAAACTCTGTTGTACTGGATATTAAAATGATAACTGTATTTATTTTGGGTGCACGTACATCTGTACAGGCTGGGTAACAAAGAGCTCCACTATGCCATGATTAATGATGGAAATTCTGCCCAGGTATGGTGTACATATCAGCTCCACACTTTTGCTGACCTACCAGAGCTTTCTCTCTTGTGCTTTATTCGCCAAATAATCTCATTATAAATAGATTAGGCACGAGCAGCTGAAATTTAGATTCGAGGCAGAAATTGACATTTTATTTGATTAGATAATGGAATTTGCATGTGGAGAAATGTGGAGAACACTAATGTATGGTTAATTAAAAACTAGGTTTTCATTTAAAGTAAAAACAAATCTTGAATCGAACCTAGGAAGACAGAGGATTATGGTAATCACTGCTAAAAATAGAATATGCCAGGTCATTGCTAAAGTGTAACCTTTTATTAGTTAGATGCTTTTATTTGTCATTAACAGCACACAGACAACACTGTTGCCGGAACACATTTAGACAATACAGCCTATTTGTTCAACTTTACCCCAATTGGTTTCATCCCATCTGAGGAGATATTTAGAAAATCTGATATAGAGGGCAACATCTTCCATCAAATTTCCACTGGGAAAAAATAAAACCTAATGGTGTTTTTCCTGCAGATCTCCAAGGATTATTTTCTCAAGCCGCAGTTTCTAGAAATAACATTAAAGCAGCATGTCTGTTATGGAAGATATATATTGCATGATCTATAATAGGACAGAAATGGTTGGTTTAATGTTGATGCTCTAGGATTCTCAGTGGTCAGTTCAAGAATAGACAAATGTATGCAGTCACAGCTCAGTAATGAGGCTGTGGCCGATCAATAGAAGAGGTCTTTAACATTGTGTGTGTTGACCTCTGGCTGAGATTTAAACTAGCACCATATTGAATTTAAATTTAAATAAGCTGAGGGGCAATCGTTTCAGGATGCCTCATTGTGTTTGGCTTATCTCTCCTTCCAGTCCTCATTAGGAGGTCAGATCTTATGCAAGGTCTACGATCAGTCAATTGTGTACATGGCTAAACAAAAGTCTTAGAGGGGTTTCATCTCACCAAAGAGAAAAGATACCACTTTGTTTTAAGCTAAATAAATTCTGATTGGCTTGCAAGCAAAATGACAAGGGTACTTCTCGAGCTGTGGATGGAGATATTCGGATAGGGGGCATTTTATTCTCATGACCCAATAAACTGACTTGGTATTCATATTTCACAGTTTGTAAAAAACATGAGAAAGTAAAATAGTAAGCTAACTATGATGTCTTTAATCTTTTCTGTTGCAGTTTCATCCTTCTGTGCCGTCTATCAACATCATTGAGGTTTGAGAAGAAGCAAGACAACGTTAAATCACTCTCTCTTCGAACATCAATGCATTCCTCCACCTTTGTCACTGATGAGAAAACATGCGTAGTGGATCGTCATCAGTGAATAGGGTTGGCTGAAGCTGTGTTTGCAAAATGCACCCGGCATTTGTAGGAAAACACCTAACTACATGTACACACACACACTGTATCTACATGACCACACACACATTACAGTACAGTAGCTACTCCTGCAGGTAGATAGGACACAAACTAATGTTAACCCATGGTGCCGTTAACACTGATGACTGCCAGCCACTTGGCAAGTTATTGCAATATAAAAAGACACGATCATCTGATCAAGGAGGCCGGTCTTCATGACTTTAAAGTCGCAGTGTATTTTTGATATTGGCATGTGCAGTTAGACACCACGTTCACCTGGTATAGGCAACTCAGCTCTTAGTAAATCAACATTTTCCCATTGCAACTAGTGTTAATATATTCATCACATCTGTATGTTATCGTACTGCTTAGGGCAGCTTGGTAACAGGGAGAGAAAGCAAACATGTATTCATTTGTAAGAACCGCCACAGTGACATGTCTTAAATTTTCGAATGATATTAAAATACATTGTATTTTTCCACATTTCATAATGTTTCATAATGTATGTACATATTTCATTCATTTGCTAACGTTGCATGCAGGTCATTTGCCTGTAGAATAGCATTTGATGTGTGTTCTAAGTTCCAACAATGGAGAATAAACATGATTGCAGTCCCTTGAAGATGTTCATGTTTTCTTCTATTCCGACCTTCATCGAAAATCTTGTACATTTCCTGAAGTGTAAAATAAACCTTCTTTTGAATGTCCCATCACGGAGTTGCAGCTAATGTAATGGAGTGTCTCTCACAGAAATGCATCCGTATATCACTTCCACCACGCACGCACGCACGCACGCACGCACGCACGCACACACACACACACACACACACACACACACACACACACACACACACACACACACACACACACACACACACACACACACACACACACACACACACACACACACACACACACACACACACACACACACACACACACACACACACACACACACACACACACACACACACACACACACACACACACACACACACACACCACACACACACACACACACACACACACACACACACACACACACACACACACACACACACACACACACACACACACACACACACACACACACACACACACACACACACACACACACACACACACACACACACACACACACACACCTCATCGATTTAAACAAAGATGCATTGTGTGCATTAAATGTTGGCTGAGACTACAGTACAGTAGAAAAACAGCACTTTATGCACAAAATACTTGCCAAGTCTTGTTACAGAAAGTGTTTGAACGCACCTCCTACTAATTAGGTAATGATAAGGCGGATAAAATCATCATCTCTCACTTCCATTTCGGGTAAAAAAAAAATACTCAGTGCAAAATCCTGACAGTATTTTAAGCACAACGCCAATATGTCGAACACAATTCATTTAGATTGTGTGCCTCCTGGTGCTTCATGATCCTTTAAAGAACTTTAAAACAGTTCCCACACTGCAGCATTATGACACTTTTAATATTTGATGAGTTTAAATCGACGTATAGCTGACTCCGGAATAGCCTATGATCTTCCTTAGTTCAGATCCATATTCTTCAATGAAAGACTGCAGTTTTTTCCAAATGATAGGTTTGCGACTGTACAGAAACCAGTTGATATGGATGGTAATTGTATGTGATGTACACTGCACAGTAAGAGTTAGAAGGCAGGGATTTTGAAAAGACTTACTCCTGTCTTGTAAAAGTCAATCAATTTGAGAGCTGGCCCTACTTGAGTCGAGTCAAAAGCCTTGATGCTCTCAGATTTTCTGTTCTTTGAACACGATCGACTGGGAAAAAGCTCAGTCGGTCTATTGTTAAAAGATTAAATGAGTCTTGTTGATAACAAACACACAGAAAGCTACTGTATCTATTTACTCAATAATACAACCCCCATTAATAACTCAAATGTCAGTTTTACCACCAACAACATTCATCCAAAATGAAGCAGAAGTTACGAGACAAGAAGCGCTGCCGTCTTCTTCCCATTAGTTTGCTCAAGTGATTTATGGGCTGTTGTTGTAGCTGAGATAAGCTTTATATAGATGTTATTCAGAGACGGAAGTATATACTGCATCTATAAATACATTGATTTATAAATATAGGTTTGTCACAGGAGTCTACTTTCATTACTGCACTAGTCCCTATGTGCAGCAATATACTGTAAGCAGCCTCTCTGCCCTCCATATGAACCTTGCTTCTACCTTATAAATAGGAGAACAAGAAAGCCTGCCATGTGAATACAAGCAAGACACGTTTTGAAATTTGCTTTAAACACAACCTATTACTGATAATGATTCCTGGGTTATTCAGAGGTTAAAGGTTTGTTGGAGGTGTACTGTAAACTGCCACTGCATGTGCTAAAATGTTGTCCATGAAAACTGCTTTATATCACTTTTATACCGCAAATACCTCGTACAGATAGCCAAAACTATATATCACTAAAAAACCTCTAACTGCAAATGGGAAATACTCACAGCACTGGCTCTTATTATTTCCCTGAACATCCCATTTCCTCAGACGCAGTATTTCAAACTTCTGCATTTCTGACCTCCACATGCCAGTCAGAATAGATTCTCATTATCAAACGCTACAACCATTACCAACATAAATGAAGCCATTAGAGCAGTGTGGAACACCTTATGGGTAGAGAATTAGTCATTGCAAAATTGTATTTAATAGCCAATTAGCAATTAATGACACAGTTATGAATAGTAAATGAGCTGTTCCTTCGCCGGTCCCAGGACACCACGGACAAATTAGACATTGTTAATGAACATATCAGCCCCAAAGTTAAAACTCCTGAAATAGAATCTGTTGAATTATGAACAATATCAGAGAAGATAATAGAGAATAGCTGGAAATCTGCTTGTAATGTTTTTAACTGCAGAGTGCCTTGTAAGAAAAAAGCACATCAGAAAAGATTAAGTACATTTAAAAGTATCTTTAAATGAGGATCAAATGAGGATTTGACTGGCTGCTGCAGATAGTCAAGCAGGGAGCTAACACCTGTCAAAGATCAGGAAAGAGAGCCAAAAACAGGAGAAGTGGAGAGAAGCAGACGACCTTGTGTCATAGCCAAATCCTCTCCCCGGTCATTAATATTAATAATAATAATAATAATAATAATAGATTACATATGTATAGCGCCTTTCAAGGCACCCAAGGCCGCTTTACATTCTAGTATACTGATCAAAACAAAGCCAACATCAAAATCATATTTTTATTTTTTTAAAGATTATTTTGTGCCAGATTAGCCTACAGTATATTGGAGATGACAGTGTTGGAAGGGGGAGACAGAGGGGATGACATGCGTACATGGTTCCAGGCTGGATTCGAAAAAGGGTCCTCCACACGGTAACCGAGTCCCTATACTGTACATGGGCCGCCAGCTCTACCAGGGGACTTATATGGCAGCCCACCATTGAAATCATTTAAAACCAAAAATGTGTAATGGTTGCTCCACACAATTGCAGCACATGTTGTCAGTGCAGCTCACGGAATCCCACCGAGATGCTACTCAGTCTCCTGTGAGTTCTCTGAAAATATCTGGTGGTCTCCCTCCTGAAGACAGGTCTCTCCTTCACACAGACCCACAGACAGGGTGATCACATCCAGTTTTCTGTATAGTGTTTTTAAGGGCTGAGTGCTGCAGAGGCTCCACAAGCGTCCCGTCTACAGGTTCATAAAAGTGGACGGGTTAATGTGAAATGCAATATTAAAGTATTCTGTAACACCTTATATGAATAGCTATTTGATTCGTCATTACCACAATGTATTTTACAGATCGAGATACCAGGCTAGTTCTGAAAGCCTTCATGTTTTCCCCTGTGGTGCTGCACAGTCTGATAATGAGATCAGAGGCACTCAGCAGTAATACAGCCTCCACGTCTTTAGAAATTAAAATGATATTGCATACCTCTATAAATAATCATCAGACTAAACAAGCAATAACAGAGGACTCTCACAGAACACACACGCAAATTCCCTCGGACTGGATTTAACAGCTGCAAAATGTGAAGGGATAAAAGCCCTTCTCTGAACTCTTCTGTGAAGTGTTCCAGATCAATACAAATGTCAATAAATAATTATTTGTAGAGTCTTTAAAGTCTTATAATTACTGATGGCATATTTGTAATAACTATAATAACTGTCATTTGGAAATTCTGAAAAGTTCTGCTATAGTACTAGTAACCAAAAACCTTCTCCGTGTCAGGTTCTTGGTCTTTATCATGTTTTTAAGGTTGAATCCGATTGGCGGTGTGATTATCTTTCCGAAAAGGTTCTGGATTACTGTTTCTTTTGGTATATTCAAAGCTGATTCACCTTATACCAGCTTGGTAAGACACTACCCTCAACAATGGAAGAATTTATCATGATACAATTGCAAAATAAACCTCCTTCTCACATCTTCTTGTCTCTTTTCTTTTCCGTCATTTTTTTCTTCTTTTAAAAATGATAATAACAAAAGTTACAGGTGCAGCTAAACAAATATTGATGCATCTTAAATTGAATCTCCCAGATTATGAACTTCTTTTGGACATTTCTTTTATTTATGAGGAAACAGACGAGAAGCTATTGTTGCACGCACCTGGTATGCATTATTAAGTTTCAATCATAGGCAGTGTGCTGAATGAATCGATGGGATTTAGTCCGTCAGACAGCCAAACAGGAGCCTGTCCTCGCTTTGGATCGACCTCAGAGAGCAGGGACATGTTTGAGAGAAAAGCAGTATGGATTATAATGTAATGTTTACTGAAATGATCAGCAGAAGGGCCGCGATGAATAAAGTGCTTGTCTTCACAGCGGGCTGTTGTGGTTTAATTGGCTCTACTTGAAGATTATTTGTTGAAATGTGTTACTTCTTATTATATTGTGCTGAAAGACAACGTGTATACATGCAATTACACTGGGTATGACAGTAAAAGCTTAGAGTTTAACAAAGCTCACGGTCTAATTCAATAAGAAAAATAAGTGCTATTAAATGTTTGTACAAAGTCTTTTATTATGCATAAATATGTAACAAACCATAACAGTTTCCAAATGCTGTACACCTTTTTTACACAGTTTTTATCAACTGCTTGTGGTTTATACACACATTGCTATTATGATCAAAACACTGTTGGAAACCCACTAATTGCATAGATAGAAAATAAGCACCATATTTGAAAAGTAAACCCATCTTGTAAACATCATGCTTATTTTGGGCAACAATATCTGAAAAACTCTGAAAGCCTCAAATGTTTTCTGACCTCAAACCCTCGCGGACTGATCTGTATTCAGAGCACCCCCGACTCAAATTGGCATGTGATACCCGCCCCCTCCTCCCCTCACGCATGGAAAGTGCTCGGCTGTGCCAGAGCACCGCATCCATTCAAGATTCACAGGGGATAAGTGAGCTACAGAATCCTAGACACAGGAAATAAAACTCTTAAATCAGGCAGATCAAGTTTTGCCAAAATACAATTTATAGAGATGAATCTACTAAAAGAAAAAGCCCAAAGGGACTTCCCTTCAAAGTAAAATCATTTTTTTGTTTTAAAGTCAATCAAAATGACTGGGTATATTCAATAGTTATAACAAAGGTCTCTGCATTGGCTAATGAAGCATTTTTTCTCAAAACTTGTACTGTTTTATGTCGTTATTGGAAACCATTTCCGTGTCCGAAGGGTGCTGGACAACAGCCCATTTGCGAATATCACTCAAAAGCATTGAATCAGCAGAAACCGAAACCAGCCACACGTTAATCAATGAGTGAAGTCAGTGTTGGAAAAATCACTTCCACTCAAGAGGAAAGATGTTCAACTGTAAGGTGAAATAACGATGCTGCATTTTTTAGTCAGTACTGAGGTTATTTATCATATGATTTGGAGTTCTTTTTTTTTAAAGATACATTGGAGGCTGCATTTCAGCCAGTCAGGAATGAAACAATGCAATTAAGCTTCATGGCGTAACCTGATAAGCCATCCAATTATTCTGCAGCGGGTGTCATGACAACAGTGCTGATGCCCTGAATACAGAGAGAAGGACCACTTCAGCCAGGCTGGGGCACAATATAATACCCTCTCGACAGCAAAACGTCATCCAAGCAGCGGATACAAATAATTTGCCGCGTCTCAGGAGGGCAATAATTGTTCTATGATGAGGTTTGGGACAAAAGACGTGTTGTGTGGCACAGATTACAGTGAACAGAGGCAGATGTGAACTGTGCCGATCAATGCAACAGGTGATTACTTTGAGAGAAGGACTATATTTAAAAAATATTCCTGCAGTGATAAAAAGAAACACATGTGATTACATTTGTATAAATTGTCTAATCTAATGCAAAACATACAAGCAACAACACGAGTGATAATTACCTTTTGAAAACAACATGTGTGAAGCCCTGAATCTATTCATCCTACTTCCTTTGTGATGATACAATATGCTTACATAAATTACTCTGACATTGAAAAAATACAGCATATGGAAATAGTTGGCCTCGCCATACACTCGTCCTCAGAACCTCCAATCATCGCTATTCTGTAACACCATCTTTATGTACAGTGGCTGTATGTAATGTATGTATTCCTTACATTATAAAAGTCATATTTATATAAGACAGCATTGAAGTAGAGTGTTAGAGGAATGTCAGTCGGTGTCTGTGAGAGATGTCTGCTGTTGATTTGAGTGGCACAAGATTGTGATATTTGCAAACACTATCTATTAACATTGTTCACATACAGCAGCACAAGGGTTACTCAATTTGATTACTGAATCATACACATTTCTCACAAAAGGAGGGTCATCCTATGTGTATTTTTAAATGTATTTAATATTTCTAAATCAGACAAAGATGTGGTTCTCTAAAAGGGGCATGGCAGTTTGCTTGTTATGAATAGCCGAGTCTGTGGAAACTGCTGTATGTTGTGTCGTGTGGTTTAATATACAGCAAAAGTAACCTGATGATGTCATAATATGTAATCAGAGTTATCTACTTTCTTATTTTCACAAATCAGTGGAGTTGAGTTTGGAATATGTGGATGTCTAATACAATATTCCTTCAAGTTGTCAATGGGTTTATGGGAAATGTAGAATCCATTGTTATTGGAGCTTGGCCGATAAAAGAGAGTGCATGTGAGAAAATCTCTGCCTCTGCTGCTTACATTTTTATCTGAATTTGGTTGATTTGTTTGCTTGAGTTTGAAGCTTCACTCCTGAGCTTCCAAAGCTTTTATCAACATCTGGTGGCCTTCTTAAGAACATTAAGTTACTCAGTTTCCATGGTGATTGTTCGCTTTGTTATCAAAATACCCAATTCCTGTTAAGTTTTGGGCACAGGGCACCTGGTGGATGAAAACATGAAAATGAATGCTGTCGTCAACGAGGTTAACGTAACATTGGATACAGAAAGTAGGCAGTACTTATTTAGGGACTTTTGGGCCTTAAAATAAACATTTACATTTGGATTTGTTGGCAATAAACATTGTACCCCATTCTCTAAACATCACGTGTATGCTTCTTTCAAATATTGTCATTTCCAAGGTGGGTCCTAGATGCTTCTTTGTCTTTACATGACATTTCACATTTCAGAAAGAGGTGACAGTCTCATTGTATGTACACATAGTTTGTTTTTACATATTTGGAATATAAAGAGACTCCATTCTTGGTATGCATCTCTTCCGTCTGTGTGATGACTCATCTTGCAGTGCTGTGTTGCACGTTGTGCCTTTCATCGAGCAGTAAGAGTATGGCTGAATATGTCCGAGTGGAGTGTGTACTGGCACACATTCAGACAGAGCAGTTTCTAATATCAAGGTATCCATTCTGCCCTCTCTGCAGCAGCCAGAGGAAATCAAACGGGTTGTGCACCGGGAAGCGTGATATGGTTTTGTCTGTTTCGGGTTTGTTGTTGGTCTCTAGGCCTGAGGGGTCTGATTTCACTGTCATTTTTCGGTGGTGCTGTACATTGGGCAGCTTTTGCCAGTTATTCAAATTCATTGTTGCAGATGGTTAACAAATTGTGGTTGTAAACTTCCCAGGGACTCAGATCTGCATGGTCAGAGACGGGTTGGGAGCAGGACTCGGCCAGTCTGACAGAGACGGAAAGACAGAAAAAAAGATTGCCACAGAGGTCAGAGGCAGTAAATATGTATTTGTCATGAGGGTTGACCGGATAAGCAGAGGTTAAAAACGGAGAGAAGAAGGGTTACGGTGTAAAATGACGGGAATGACAGGGAAGGAGCGGGAGGGCAAACATACAGAGAGCCATGAGAGGATTTCAGTTTCTGATTCTGATGGAAAAAAGAAATGCTAAGACAAATGTTGAACTAAGGATAACTCAAAACACAAGATTCAAAAATTGAAATATCTGTCTTTAGGTTGTGAATCTAATTTTATGTCAGGACTCATTGATTCAGGATTTAGTACTTTTGCTTATTTCAGGGAATACTCCAGTCTGCTTTGCACTAATCAACGTAGTTTGGCTAATGATAGTGTGAGAGAAGAGTTAAGTGTTTTCATATTTGAAAAGCTTTTCTGAATTTATGTGCAATAATTGAACACACGAAGGCAAACGTGAAGCGAGAAAGTCATTTCTTCTCAATTATCAGTGACTTCAAGAATAATGAGTTTCAAGTTAACCAAAAGTAAAAACGGTGGACTCCTTCATTAATAAGATGAGGGCTAGCTGCTTATTTGTTTATCACAAACTCGCCAATTTCACAGGGAAACTGGTATTTATTTTTTCGTTTTCAACATATCACACAAGAATGCTTGACATCACAGTGTAAGATGAGAGCTACTGATTTAATGATGTAATGTTTGAACAGAGCAAAAGTGGAAGAGTCCGGTGCAGAAATGAGGGGTATTCTACATGTAAGGCAACATGCAGTACCGAGCATCTAAATCACATGCCGGTCACTTACCGGTGTCCATCTCCTCTACTTCCATGTTGCTGCATGCCAGGTAGAAAAAGAAAATCATGACTATGTGACTCAATAGCAAAGATGAATATATGTAGAAACTTCAAATGCAGTTTGAACTAGATACAGTTCACAGAAAGGACAACGAGATTACCTCATGTTAACGTGCACGCCATGTGATGCAAAGGCGATACCATACATCATTTTAAAGACACACAAAACAGCAATAAAAAAGAACCTCATTTTGATGAGGTCAAAATATTTAGCTACATCAGTACCAAGCCAACAGCTGCATAATACTCATTTAACTCCAAGGTCACTATTAATTAAAAAAATCTCAAACACAAATGAAACCATTTAATAAACCCATTTGAACTGAAGCTGGTGTCAAGACACATTGCTCTGGTTATAAGCAATGAGGCTTCACTTGAATAACTATATACTATTCTAACAATTGGATTTCTTTGACCAGAGGCCTAAACCCTGACCTGTTCTGGAGCTAATCATTCAAATGCTTCTTCTGAGGTTGGTAGGGCTGCATCAGTAGAAGACTGCATGCGACCCTTTGACTCTGTGCTGCTACTTGGAAGAAAGACATTTAAGTGGAATGGAAACCACAGATCAACCAATTAACCCTTAATGCCATTTTTGTATTCACAGATTCAGATGTAAGTAAGAAATTGGCTCAATATGTCATGTGATGGTGGTTTTATACACAGGAGAGATAGCCAACACGCCAAACCTTAAGGATAACAAAAAAAGTATTTGTATATTATCCAATGTGTGTCAACTCATATTGGGATTGTTTAATGTTATAAGCTACGCAAAGCTCTTAACATGTCAGAACAGTTGGGAACCAATCAGTTGTAGATGCAGATGTACTGTAGAAAAGTCAACCGTCAAACACTGAAATGGTTTGTCTCTGTATTAATGTGAGGCAGTAGATGTTTGTGGAGAGATGAGGCCATTATTTGTTCATCTCGTCAAAAAGCATGATCAATGGTTTGTTAAATCTGTTTCCTAATCTATTTCCTTTGCACAATTTGCTGTTATCAAATCGCCAACTTCTCCACCTGAGCCAAGCGTAAAATCTCTTTTGGGATTTTTGCCACACACGTTGATAATGCACATAAAATGAGGTGCATTGAAACCATGACGGTACATAAAAAAAGTGATCCCTGAAAGTTAACAAACAATATGAAATGCAGAGAGAGCACACAGGGCAGGATGCACATCTGTCAAGGCTCCTTAAGGTTCCTCGAGACAGGGTACTGACAACCCTTCTCTGCCGATCTACAAACACTCCTAAAGTCACATCACAGCAACACTGAGGATGTGCGACAGCCCTGACAGCTCCACGTGACCCACAGTCCTCCAGCTCTCAGGTCAGATCTTATCCTGCTTTTGTGCCCCGCCACAGCAGAGCCTGACCTCCTCGCTGACCTCTGCAGAGGAGGTCTGCTCTAACACTGCCCAAAAAAAAACCTTCCTCTAGGATGTCAGATTAAGATCTAAGTGTTCCACCTCCCCAAATTTGACACCCACACTCGAGGTCAGTATTTCCTCCTCTCTGCTGAGAAAAGCCTCGGGGATGACCTGCCTTCCTCTTTTGATCTCCTTCCACACGCAGACAGCTTCTACATTCACTTCTGTATATAATATTTACCCATTTGGCTTCAAGTGTTGCATGCTTTAACACAGCAAGCACATCTTTTAGCCGCAGGCAACACAATTTAATGAGTTGCAATCCCTTTAAAGTGTGAGGCACCATCCCTTTGCTGCTCTTTTTTTTATGTAGTGATAATACAGTACTGCAGGACACATACACACAGATCAGCTGGTTATATCAGGATGTGAAAATCTATGCCGAGGGCTCAGATACCACTTTCCCGTTTGGCTGATTTCAAACTGTTTTTGAGGCAGAATATGTCACAGGGACTACATGCATGATGTTATAAGTGTTAAATCATATCATGTTTACAGTGTTTTCTGGGCTACACCCACCGAGACTCAAATTTCACATTTTAGTCTCTCTGCAGGCGTCTCACTGCAATTTCACAGACCGCCACACTCTCAAAGAAAGTACAAAAAAAAGGTGTGGCATTGTAATCTTTGTTCAGAGATGAAATGCTGATGCACTGTGGAGCGCCCTTCCTGGCTTCAGTCTCCGTGCTCCTGACAGCTTTGTCGGGAGAGGTGACAATCACGTTGGCAGGAGAGGAAAGGAAAGTCACTTCTGTTGTCTGCGAGGCTTCAAGAGCTGCAGAGATCTCACAGGAGTGCAGACTGCTGCCTAGTTACACACTCAATCACTGTAGTGTGTGACAGAGCCACCAATAGTCTATTCACAGGCAGTGTTGTGCAGTTATCTATAATACGGTATCAAAGCTAATCAAACTAATTAACTGCCCTCATGTAATGCTTGTAATGATTTTCAGAGTTGCAGGAGTGAGGCTGTTTTATTGAGATGCTTCAACATAACACTTCAAGGTAGTGGATCAAGTTATCTCCAACTACTTGAAATGATCATTTATTTCGATTCACTTAGAGCTGACAGCTGCTTAGCTCTGAAACTGCATTGCTTTTATTCAGCTCTGATTCAATAAGACACAAAAGCGTTACAACACTATACTGTAGGTGTTGAGTATTTGTTGCTAACAGCAAATCATTTATATAGAATAATTGTATACAATCTTACCAAATGCCTGAAAACTGACATCCTGTTCAACACCTCACTAGTCAATCTCGTAAAATATGTATCGAACACCAAACAAAGTTAAAATGCTCATCATACTATTCTACGTACAGCTGCTTATTGACATACAGTAGATGTAATGCCTCTTTTTGTAAGAAGTTACTGGTGAAAATGAGACTGTTGCATGTGTGTTGACTTTCAGTGTTTTAAAATAAAATAAATACGTGTCAGTCAACGTGTCGCTTGAAGGTTTTCTTATTCAAAAGAGTCCGAAAGGTGATTGACGGCTGACAGTCACCTTCAATGCAACCGTCATCCTCTAAAATAGCTCCACAGTATAAAGAGGTGATGTTCGGAACTTAAATCAACATAACAATGGTTTCATACATTTGGTTTTATGGGGAGTGTTTGGTGCTCGAGAACAATCCCGTCTCCTTTCCTAAATAAAATAATATATCCCTCAGTGCTCTGTTGACTAAGTATTATGAATAAGGTTACCTTGAAAACGGATCATCGAGTCCATCGTCAACATCCTGTTGGGACATGAACAATAACAATCAATAAACACATCAATTACTTCAAATTACAATCCTGCTGAGTCAGATGCTGTCACAACTCATTTCCTCTGAGTGAGACACACACTAATTAAGAGCTAAATAATTAAATATTGCATATTTCAGATGTTTCATGTTTACTTATGTTACAATCACCGTGACTGTATGGCACTATTGCATGACTTACATACGGGGAAAGGCTGGAAACATTTGGAAGGGATCGATTTGTTGTTCTCTGTAAGCAATTGATCCAACCAATTTAAAAGCGATTTTCTTATGATAAAATAAATATAATTTTGTCGAATTAAGACTTGAAATGATATTCATTATAACCAGAAGCAATGCAAACATGAAGGAATTATAAAATAGCATAACATTAGAGAGGAGAGTATTAAAATAAAGTTGGGTGAGGCAGATATGTTATACTGAATGAGATCAGCCTGCAGAGACATTATCATGAATATGCTGCCACCTAGTGTTCAGAAAATGTAAACACCAGGAAACTGGCAGCTTCTGTAGCATGAAGATTTCAAATTATTTACACATTACCTTTACGCTCTGATTGTTGCCAACTTATCTACTTAAAACAGTCCCATTTTTAAGGATAAGAAACGTTGTGGAAGAATGAGTTCATAGTCCACAGCTAAGCACCCTTAGACAAGTTCATTGTATCAATGTCAGTCCATCACATGTATCACCATTTTTAAATGAGTTGGAATAATTCATCTACACAACATGGCATTGATACAGTATAATGCTAAGGTGAAGTATACCACTGTACTGGCCTAATGTATAGCATTTTTGCAAACAGACTGTATTTCCAAACTGCATGGGCAGAACCATCTTTATTCTGATCGAGTCATCCGTCATAATTAACTATGTTGATCTTTTTTGTTGTTTTTTGCTTAGATGTCTCCGAAAAGGGAATTCAGAAGCAAGGAAACTGCCCCAAAATCAAGGTAAGTTTTATCATGGAAGCTATCAAATTAAAAACCATACTAAATTAGTTTTATGCAGTGAGGTATATAGGTTTAAAACTTAGGAAAATGCCAGTACTAGTGTTGGTTAAACATCTTGAGTTGTTGTCTTGGACTTGTTATCAGAGGCCTGTACTACGAAGCCGGATTTTCCTAACCTGGATATGTTTGAGTTAGCCGGTTGGCCCAATCCAAAACATACGCGCTCTCGTTAAGCTGTACTACGACACTGGATATCAAGTGGATCGCTCAAGCCAGCCGTGTCCTATCTAGTTAGGTGCGCGTTCACATGAAAGGGGTGGTATTTGGAGCATTTGACCAATCTCAAACACGGACAAGCGTACTGACAGCGCAGCGTCATACTTCCTGAATGAAAAGTGAACTTTAATATTAGTCAAATATGAAGAAGTTAAACTTTAAACATCCATGACTTAAACACTTTATCCAGGATAAAAGCCACATAGCTGCACCTGCAAGGTGAATACAGCTGGTAAAAGAAAAAGTGTTTGAATGCGTACATTAACAGGTTTATGAAATCACTGCCCCGTCCAAGACACGAGTGGATCTGACTTTAATTACATTTGACTCGAGTGTTTCGTCAACTTAATGTGTTGCTTAAAATAATACTTCTGCATACAGTATGTGACACTGTGAGTGTTGCACGGCCAGATACGGCTCAAGAAGCTGACTCAAATAAGGAAATATATGATACATTATGATGTGATATGATATGAATGATAATGGGACACATCGACGTCTGCACTCACAGTGCCGTGGACTGTACTTAATGTTACTCTGATCCGGTTACTTATGTTGTGGCAGATATTTAAGTAAGCTTTCTTAACGCTAATGTTATAATAGTCAGATTGCTCTGAAGATGGGAGGGGATATTCTATTAATTTTCACGTTCACACAGTCAGTTGATTTTTGCCGGCCGTCTTTCCTGCAACGGCAGTTTTTCTGTATTTCCTCTATCCTGTAATATGAATTGATCGCTTTAAACTCTGCACACGGAGCTCTGATTGGTCAGCAGGCGGTGCTTTCACTGAGTTGATCTCTTAGCCTGCAACCTAACCTCCTCCCGAGGAGGTTAGCCGCTCAGCATAAGTTACCATGGAGATCTAGCCCGCTAAAAAGAGAACCAGCGTCGTAGGACCGGAAAGCCCGAGTTTTCCCTGAAGTCAGCCGGCTAAGCGAAAATCTGGCTTTGTAGTACAGGCCTCAGGTAACAAGAAGTTGGATAACATCTAACCTAACCATAAAAACGGATGTAATCTCTGCTTTCGGCACAATCAGCAGTTTTGGCGCGACCTACCCAAGAGTCGTGTTTGATTGGTCGTCTTCGAGTGGGGTTACTGCGAGGCGAGGGCGAGCTGAGTGACGCGGAGAAGAAGGGCCTCCGGAGCTTCTCCTCCATCACAAGCGGCTTGTGTTGCTCTGGATCCGAGGGTCAGGGGGACAGGTGAGGACGAGGGGTGAGACAGAGGGGGACAGATCAGAGGGGAAAGGGACGGGACACATACAGCAGAGAGAGAAGAAGACACTTGTCAACTTGTTCTGTCTCTGCAGTAAAACATCAGATCCAGCCTGTGGTGCTCACAGCTTCCTCTGCAACAGGCAGAATATTAAACAGTCTGAAAAACGTTCATACTTCTTTCTGTCTCGACCTACTCCCGTGATCCTTAAGGCTTCACATCACATTTTCTCTCTGTGTCCTCGGGCTACTGGAAGTGGAGCTACTTTGAATTAAAAGAAGCTGGACTGACAGCCTTTAACTAACCACAAACTGAATGGATGATTAGGTCTCATTTGCAGACACTTTGACCCTCTCAGGAGTGGGAGACATGTGGCTTATAAATGTCACGGCCATAGGGAAGTACTTAAGGTTTACTCTGACTGAGTAGTGAGTGGCAGATAATTAGGTGAATGATCCCAAGTGTATGTGGTTGATTGACGGGAGTTAAATGTGTGTTACAAAATGACTCGTCGTGGTTTGCACACAAGGTCATTTTAAAGTCACTATGCAACAGACTACAGTAGCGTTTACTTATTCATGTTTGCTAGATACTGTTGGGTTTACGAGGATTATAAAATCCTTAAGTCTCGAGAAATGTGGTCTTTTCTCACTCTGCATTTCATTGCCTTCTCATTTCAGTGACAATATATTACGGTTTATTTTTATTGGAAAAGTCGATGATAATCATCTTGCCTTTTCTTTATCTCCTGGAATTACAACACCTCAATTCATCCTGGCCTTACCGATTGTAATTCTAAAGTCTGCAGTAAATGTAACCAATAATAAGACTGTCAGTATAAAATGCAATATTATAATCAAATGAGCAACACTCAAAAATGATGGGAAAGCAATTGGAGGCAGAAAGCTGTAGAAAAACCAACCTGAATGAAAGCCTGACGAGATCAATATGTGGAGTTGTTTTTCTGCTTCAAACTGCTGTTCCATGACCACAATATGCATAACTCCCAGTAAGCCCAGTGTGGATAATAAGCTGTCGGCTCTTGAAATCTGGTAAGAGCCAGGTGTTATTTGTGAGTGAAGCTTTGCCTGTATAAACTGCATTCATCTATTGTTGGGCTTTTCACCAACACATCTGACAGATAGAGACTGGAAGCCATATTTTGGGGAAACAGCAGTATTTTCATACAGTACATGCTAATGTTATGTGTAATGAGTTTATCTGTGCAACAGCATATTTTGTATGCCAACGTTAATGGTTTGAAACACACACCGGTTATTTCTCACTTACTGTAGAGCTGACCTTGTGGAGTCTCTGTTAGCATTATCACTTCGACTTGCCCCTTTCTCACTGGTAACAATATATGCTAGCTTTCCAGAGGACGGATGTCTATGACGAGAGTATGACTTGTTGTTAAAGAAAAACTTGGGAAATGGGAGGAAGAGTGCCACTTACACATTTGCCTCTGGAATGTATTTTTACCTTCCAGCAATTTGTTAATGTCCTTATTGCTACATGCATTGTTTGTAGTAAAAACAACACATTGTGTTCACAAGTGGAATTATGTGCAAATATTTTATGAGAGGCACACTAACTTCCTGGCACATAACGATAAACTGCTGGTAGACTTTCTTTACATTCAGACAGAGTGATGCCCCCTGATTCCAATCTCTATGCTAAGCTAAGGTAATTGCATACTGGCTCTAGCTTTAGATGTCCTAAACCAACATGTGTTTTCTCATCTAAAACTCTGAAAGAAAACAAATCAGTATTTTTCCAAACTTTCCCCTCAAATCCCTCTATTAAATAGTGTGTTGATTATTCCCCAAATACGAAACCATGCTTTATAGAAAGTCACTGAAATTAAATCCTAACCTTCAGGAAACCTTTTCATTATTGCAGTTAAAATAATGTACAGAGAGAAGCCCTGTGGGAAATGAAAACATGAAGAGAACGTACCAGCTGGAACACACTGAGGGCCTGCTGTCTCCGTCTGCCCTTTGCTGGCTGCACAAGAACAGCAAGTCCTGGCTTTCTTGCTTTTGTCTGCAGACAGAAAACACTTCTCAAAACTTGACCTGAAGAAAATAAGATGATCCAGCTATGTGATAGAAATGAAATGTGATAATATTTTAACTTTTGGTTGTCAGCAATTATTCTTAATTTAAATACAGGGAGTACATATAGTGCGTCGTATGAGTAAAGATTATCTCAACTCATATTTTAGCAAAGGTCTGATAGAGGGTGTCGTATGCTGTACACATTGTAAAGCCCCCTGAGACAAATGTGTACTTTGTGACACAGGGCTATATAAATAACATTTGATTGATTGAATGATTTTTTTTTAAAACATAAAGTAAAAATGTAACTACTTCCTGTTCAGTGAACTCACCTTCCTGAGCAATCTCCCAAAGATCAAGCGCTACTTTAAAAGCCTGCGCTACAGTTAATGTCACAGCCTGAGCCTGGAGACAAGAGATGGGGAAAAAAACGAAGTAATGAGACAAAAATAGCGAAATATAAAATGTAATAATTAGTTATGACTCAATAAAATGCTTTGTAATAAAACGGTACAAATATTAACCATGTAAGTTGCTAAATACTAGCATATTAGTATTACATCTAATATAATCTTTGTTAAACACATATTAACGCATTATTCTGAATGACCACATACCACAACTACTAGGACATTTATTAAGGGTTAATCTTTACTCTGATATTTTAACCATCTACTGTGATATATAGATGTATTTGAGTAAGAAGTAACCATTTGTTATAATAAGCTAAACTATTACTACGACAATACTATTTCTAATCTTATCAATTTCTCAAAATATGTGTGACCAACAGTATAAAGAGGAGGCTTTGGAGCTGTGCTGCCACTAGAGGGAGCCACACACTAGCTACATTTATGCTCTGCTGCCCAAATCCCAATGAACCTTGTATAAAGTAATTTCCTAAATAATCAGATTTTAAGACCTGCTTAAGCCCAAGAGTTTTCTGTACATCAAGCTAAACATAGCTTTACACAAACAGGTATTTATAACAAATTCACAACTGTGGCACACTTACTATCTTCTTCTTTTGGCAGAGAAACGCATGGCACTCCAGGGTCTCGTTGAACTGACTCTGAGAGACATATGCGAAGACTTTATCCTGAGTTTTATCTGCTGTGCAGTACGAGATTCTGCAAGAAAAAGAGAGACAAACAACATTATTCAAATGTACTAACACAATTAACCCGCTTGAAATAAGTGCATCCGTGATGATAGATGAGCAAATGCATCCAACGGCAACCAATTTATAACATGAATGAAAGAATAAGATCCTTTTTAATCACAGGACACACAGGCAGAACAAAGGACACCAGTGTATCATCTGCTAGCTCGCACTCTTAATCCCTCCTCGTACATCAAAGTAAACTGCACTGCATACATGTCGGTCCAGGCCATAACTTTGCTTTTTGCTCTCAACCTTTTCCATATGCATAAGCAAACCGATTGCAGGATGAGATACGCTGCTTTTGAATATTATGCTGATGGAGTCCCACAGCTGGGAACAGAGGAGCGGGAGACAAATGAGCAGCAGTGCCACCATGAGAGAGGCTTGAAGGTGTGACTGGGCTTTTCAGTACTTTATATGTCCGGATAATGCGTGTTATTATGCAAAAATCGACTGACATTTTTTGCTTTGTACATTTAAGGTTTTCCATGAAAGACTCAGACGGAAAATTGACTCTGACTCATGGTCTCTTTTTATAATAAATGCTGCATACAAAACATGAATAAAAGAACATCAGCCACTCTACAGGGTTTCCATTTCATACTTTTCATAGTTTTTCAGATTTTGAAGTGGATTCTCAGATCATATTTGATTTTAGGACTGCTCTAAATACCATAAGCACTCTGCCAGCATGATACTTTTATTAACAGAAATGCAGTATTTAAAAATTCAAGATTCAAGGCTTTTATTGTCATTCGTACATAGCTACAGTGTAGTCAATGAAAATCTTAGGTCACGGGCTCCTCCCACAGTGCAACACAATACAACTGATAAAATAGTGCAAGTAAATAAAATAAAATAGAATAGAATAGAAATAGTGGAGAATAGTCTATATACAAGCAATTGGAATATTGATATATATAAGTTGAAAGAAATAAATAAATCTAAGGACAGTCTTGAAATATTTTCCATACCAATCCAGACATGGAAATCTCTCAAATCAAACCGCAAAGTATCCCTGATAACACAAAGGCACGTGAAACCGCATGACATCAGATGCAGGAATACAATATATTGCAACTTCTGATGAAATATAAGAGCTTTTTTTGTCTGTAATAAATCCCAAGTCTTGAAATGCGAATTGATCTCCACTGCGGCTATATTGCGCTTTGAAATCTCATTCCCTCACAGTCACACTGAATCTCTTCTGGATCTAATATCTGTTTTTGAAGAAATCCAATTGCCTGCAAATCCTGTGACAGCCATGGCCAGTTATTTTTCAATAGTTATCTAAAACCAATCTAGACAGAGCCCAGCAAGCCATTTCGCTCCCCCACCCACACCTCGGTTTACTGAAGCGACGGGCACAACACCGATGGATATGTTTCCTCAGTTGTTTTTTTTTGCAGGCTACTAGAAGTGCAATCGACTTTGAGTCACCGCGTGTGACTTCCTGGTGTTGTTACCTGAACCAGCAGAGTGTGTCATGTGATGCTTTCAATCAGGGGTGTAAATGAGCCGTAGCAACCTTGGCCATTATAATTAAACACACATCTTCTATTATAAGCAGCACAAGGGCAGTCTGGGCTCATTTGCACCCTTTAAGTTGATTTATTTATTTTAAATTATACATACTATTTTGTATGTTCTCTCCCACTATGTCTATCATTGAGTATGGTATTCCTGTCATGCTATGTTTTTTCTGTATTATTTCTTGTTGGCTGTTCTGTTTGTCTTCTATGTTGAAAAAGAGAAGCATGATTTCCACCCCAAAGAAGTCAGTACTATTGCTTACACTTGTATGCTTCTGCTCAATACAAATATTTGAAACATAAGCAGCACAAGGGCCAGACTTGGTCCTTTCACTCTCATTAGCCAGGTATAGAATTCTACTTATGTACGTTATTCATCTCTGAATAGCCCAGATCAAATCATCCCATCTCAATTAGACGGCATGTCATCATCATTAGTGAGGGATTACACCACATGGATTCAGTGGTGTGTGGATCTCTATGTAATTCGCCATCATTACAGTTACTTGTAAAGCGTAAACAAAGGGGATTTGCAGCTGGCAGACACTCGTTTGCCGCACCACTTCAACGGGGGCACTAAAAATAAAGTAATTTATTCCATCAAACAACAAGCATGAAATCACCAGCGCTCGGATCTCCCTGCTCAGATTGTTTGCTGGCTTGCACCACTGATGCATGACCCACATTGCAATGCCCATGACACCCGGCTCTGTATCTCCCCCCCCCCCCCCCCCCCCCCTCCTCCTCCTCCTCCTCCTCCCCCTCCTCCCCCCTCCGTGCTTTAACTTATATTTGGGCCTTAATTGCAGGAAAATGAGTAGAGAAAAAGTTGAAAGGGTTGCCCTATTTTAGTTTGGAAAACAAGTGTGATGTAACCAAAGTGTTCAATATAACCTTGGTTAACCTTCTTAATAAGATAATATCTACTTTATTCCTAGAATATGTTGATCAACCTGAACTTATTAGTGTGGGCTTTAATTGTGATAGCCTTGACAGAGATGCATCCTCCCCTGTGTGCTCTCTTTTCATAGTGTTGGTATTTTAATTATATTAATAACTGTATAAATTATTGATTATAAAGTAATACATTATATACAACAGAATAATGCATCCTGTAGTATTACAGTACTATCAATAGTCCTTAAATTAGTGTAGTAATGGTAAAGCAGTGTTCTTGTCAATACACCGAATGAATGTTTAATGGTTTTAGAACACTATATTACATTACATTACATGTCACTTGTTAGACGCTTTTATCCAAAGCGACTTACAGCACATACTCAATACTGTGGGCAATCCCCACAGGAGCAATTTGGGGTGAAGTGTCTTTCCCAGGGACACAACGACATGCTGACTGCAGTGGGACTCGAACTTCTATCGAGCTATCCTCTGATTCGAAGATCAGCGCATTAACCCACTGCGCCACACGCCTCCCTATATAAAATAGAAGAAACTAAAAAGGGCACTCCAAAGCCATTTCCATTACTGAAACATAAAGTGTACATCCGCTCCATGTTTCTGATCTGCTCCTTAATATAATGGGTCATTCCCTTTGCCCATGCTTTAACCCTTCACCAAGTTCAAGAATATTTCTCTCTTTTTATGACTTCAATAACGGTCAATTAACCATCAAACCAAGACAAAGAAAATAACCACCCTGGCCGTGGCAAATATTGTGAAAAGGCCTTTCATTTTGCCACTGATTTGAATTGTTGTTGTAATGTATCACACCTCTTCTTAAAACAGTCCCTACCCCAAACATGTTCTAATGAAAAAAAGGCACCCCAAAGATTCTTAAAACAGGTTGACAGTCAGAGCAGGACTGTACCCTGACGATACAAAAAGTCTGCAAACACAGCCGGGCCCTGAACTCATCGCTCCTCTGTCTTATCGTATATGGCAGTATCTATTATCTATAGAGATACAGAGAAGCTTCGGAAGAGACTTCTATGAACGCATTTCAACAAGAAATGTTGTCCATTGTCAACAACATGTTTTCAAGACGAGATTTCAGCGGTAAACAAACAAAATTAGCAAATAGGTCAACGCATATACAGTGGCTGATAAATAACTATCAGCAAGAATCTATTATCAACAGCAAGAATTTCACAACTATGAATTATCATATAATATGGGTAATACACAAACAAGAATCGTCATTATAACATAGCATCCATGTGTGAATAATGTTATTTGTCATTGGAGTGAATACACATTTAAGATTTCATCTTGTTGGCAAAGACACACAAGCTTCCTCCATTTACAGTACAGTGCACTTCTATGGAGTGGGAGGTCTCTTAATCATTATTAAGACATTAAAAGAGGCAAAAAGAAAATATGTATTACTGCCACACAATGGATCACATTCATAGAATAAGCCTTCAGCTTGAAAAAAAAATAATTGACAGTTTTTCACTAAAGCTAGAACAACAGAAGCTGAGCTGTCAGTGAGCATCATATCTCCAAAGGGCCTCTGTGGACCGCATGCCTTTGATCTCCTCACTGTGTGGAGCACCGGTGCTTGCGAGGGAATATCAGTCGAAATATTTAAATATTTACAGTACAAAGCGTGAATATAACTCGACACATCAAAGCCTCAAATTCTCTATATACACTGAATGAAGCAGGTATGCCGGTAAACACAACAATGAGCTACTTTTGTTCAACTTTATACCCGACATAAGTGCATTCATGGAAAACAGCATTTTGCTTTTGCTGCAGGAAAGCAGGCACATCTTTCCAAATGCTGAAAAAATCTGATTCAAACAAACCGAAAATGGGAAAAAGAAACCGTAAGATGTTAGAGGAAACTTGGATTGGGGGATCCGACAGACATATCTCCCAGATGTGAGGATGTGTCAGAACAGCGTGCCTCATTAACAGGTGGAGTGTCAGGTACAGCTCCTCTGACCCGTGGGTTTTGCTGCTTGATATGCTGGTCTCTCTCTGAGAGCTCCTGTCAGAATATGAAGCAGAAACAGAGTCCCGATGGGAGCTCAACACCTTGCAGTGTTATGCTCTCTGGGAGATGTACTGCGAGCATATTTCAAAAATATTATTTATGACTAAAAAACAACAACTGCATGATTAAATTAGTTGTCAAAACCGAAACATTTGACCGGGTTTCTACAGTTTTGCACAAATAAGCCTGTCACAAATGAGTTTGTATTCAGAAATACAGGGCATTTGTTTATTAAATTTATAATCTGATCGGTTGTCTGAGTAAAAAGAACAGTTTCAGCCAGTTGGTACGTGCTCTTGCGTCTAACTTTGTTATATATCATAACATTTATAGGATGTTGAACATCATTATACACTGTCACTTAAAAAAGTGTTTTCCTGGATTGTTCTGGGAAAAAAAAAAAAAAATGCCTGCACATGTTGGATTATAATATCAACATTTCTTGTGTATATCTAAGCTCCAGAGGCCATTTATAAAATATCATCATAGTGTATATTTTAATACCCCTATTTTTTTAAAACAAACCAAATGTTTAGTGTCGTTTTTTTCCCTCCCCGCGAGAATGTAGACCTACAGCAGCAGTACAATGCAGACCTCATGTTGGAAGATCAAACTGGTGAGAATATAATATGAATGTCTGATATTACAAATTAAATGCAGTGTGAAATGTGCTGCCAGTGGCTGTGAAGGCTGCTGAACTCAATGTTGGGATCTAAAAAAACTTTATTTGCCACTGATACAGGATGATATTTCATTGTGTGTGTGGGTGGGTGAGGTCATGGCTGCGAGGATCCTTTTTCCAATGTTATGGCACGATGCCTCCTTGTCTGTTTTCTATCCCCCGCTAAGCTTCGCCTGAGGGAAACAGCCCTGCTTCCACTGAGTGCAAATACACAATTAACTCTGCATAAACACACACACACACACACACACACACACACACACACACACACACACACACACACACACACACACACACACACACACACACACACACACACACACACACACACACACACACACACACACACACACACACACACACACACACACACATCACACACACACACACACACACACACACACACACACACACACACACACACACACACACACACACACCCACACACACACACACACACACACACACACACACACACACACACACACACACACACACACACACACACACACACACACACACACACACACACACACACACACACACACACACACACACACACACACACACACACACACACACACACACACACACACACACACACACACACACACACACACACACTATTTAACTCCATTATTTGTTATGCACATAAACAGGCCGACACGTCTCCTCTTCCCTTCACTTGCTGTCTTGGCCAATAAATGGATTATGTGCAACTAAAATAAGACATAAGACAGGAGGGGGAAGAGGTTGAATTGGGGGTGGGGTTTCATAAAAAGGGGATAAATCAATCCTCAGTCTACCCGAGCTCTGCATGTGGCCCCTTCTATCCTCTATTATTACTCCGGAGTATTGGCGGCACGAGTTTCAAAGTGGGCAATTAGTCGTGGGTATTCCTGCGTTCAGAGCTCTGTTTATGTTAATACGAGCAGAAAGGTAAGATTGCTTTACTAGATAAATGCAAGGGGGGGAAGGAAAGGAGGGAGAGAAGAGAGGGAGATCAAAGACGAGGCTCATTCCCCTGGCCTGTGGTCTGTTACCGCTGATAAGGTGGATCAGGAAGGGGCACACACACACACTCACGTACACACACACCGATCAAATATATCCTCCATCACACACCGCCTCTTTTATCAGAGCTCTTCTGTAATCACAGCCCAGCCATGTGATATTTAGACGGTAAGGATCAATTACACAAGGCCCAATCTATATTACAGGAGCTATCCAGAGAGAGGAAGCCAGCCAAACAGACACAATCCACACACACACACACACACACACACACACACACACACGAACACACACTCTCTCTCCTTTCACTGATTCGGTAGAGGGAAACCTAGCGTGGCGCTGAAAAAGGTCAGCTTTCATTGACACAGAGCAACAGTATGAGACGTCCCCCCGGCGACCCCCTCCTGGCCTCCCATTATTGGTTTCCTGCTGAATTGATCAAACTCACAATCGCTTTGAGCAGAGAACTGCTCGGTTTATTCCTACACAAAGGAGGCAAGCAATGGACAGAGAGGAAAGTGACCTACATAGAACATATCAGTATTTTCAAGAATCAGATGAAGACACTATTTTTGTTTTTAGGACTCGACTCGGAGGATTAACAGCATTGTTAGGCACAGCACGAATAATAAACCCTTGTTAAGTGATGATGTTTTATGACATATTGCTCAGCCACGCTTATAAAGTCAGGCATTTACCTCTGGAGGTAATAAGATATGAAAATGTTAAGTTTTACATGCAGTTCTTAATGGTTTGCATGATATTTTTATTTATTTGCTTGAAGCCAGTAGCCCTAGCCTTTTCACTGACCAGCACATGGCTTGACATAATGACAACCTCAAAAATATTGTAATTATTGGGACTTTAAGAGTCTCTCCATTATAATAATATATATATATATATATCAGGGTTTTGTCTAAACCGGGTAACAGGGGCGCTGCGCCATCTTACTTTCAGCATGCGCCCTCATACCAAATTGCCGATTTTCCCCATAACATTTTAAAGTGATGCCAGAAAACAATATTTCTGTTGGTCAGACATTTTATAATGACTCCAAAAATATTAAAATCGTGTCAGACCGTCAGACGGCATAGACAGCTTTGCTTTCGGTCGGTCTGCCGGTGGACGAGTGGCAGGCAGAAGGCTTATACTTAAACTGTGATTTCTGAATTAGATCGTTTCTTTATCCGTCCTTTTTTCTGTAGAGGAAGTATAGAAAACTTAACTGTATTTGTTGTTTGAGGTGCAATAAATAACTCAGCCGCTTTAAGACATAAAAAAACGAATTTTCCGCTTCTCTCTAATGCATTATGTTCGCCGGAAAGTGGACGGGGGCGTTTGATTTACCTGTATATGGAGACATTTTCTATGAGGTCCGTGGCCTCTGTGTCCGTCATGATGATGCCTTTCGGAGAGATCGTCAAAGTTACTTTCCGAAACTTCTTGGCACTGGCCCTGGCCTGTGGATATGAAATATAAAAAAACACATTAACACTCACATTAAAAATCAATAGGGAGCTGTCTGACATAAATATAGCATGAACGTACTTCTGATGAAACGCCGAAAACCCCAGAGATGCGACAGTGGCTGCCAAGCAAAACTAGGCAGCCTGCGCGAGTTGCCCCGGAAATGTGGGGAATTTATAAAAAGTGACAGAACTGGGGGGGGGGGAGGAAAGCCGCATCGGGAAGCCCAGAACGAGGGCTACATGCAACTCGAGGTCAGGCTGGCAGCCGCTCACTCCCCCTGCCGCTCTGCTCCATCTGGAGTTTCAGGAAATAGGAGCAGAGTGCTGAGCTGGTGGTCTGTGAGAGAGCGCCTGTTGACTATGACAATGACCTCCTTTGCATGCAATTAGCTGACAAATGAGAGCAGTTTAGTTTCACACTCAAGTGCGATGAGGTTAAGAATCAGTAGATAACTGTGGAGGAATACAGAGGGTGAAAGAAGGACATTATTTCATCATTTATTTTCCATTCTCCCTGCAGGAAAACGCTTCTATTGTTGCAGCAGGTGAAATAAAGGCCGGCACCGAGGAGAAGCGGATGATGAAAAGAAGCGGGATCTTTGCTTAAAAGGAATAACCAGGACTTCTGAAGGACAACAGGAACGCTGTAGGAGCCTAAATGCCCTGGAGATGATGATGAGGAACAGCACATTCTGCTGAAACCCGCAGCACTTACAATATGTAAAACTGGCATTATATCAGAGAGGGAATAAGTGCTGTGGCTGAGTGCGGCAGCTCATCCATGTAGGAAGTGTTAACAACCACGTTATATTCTGTCATGTTACTCGTGTCATGCCACGAGGCAAAAACCAATCTGTCAGCTTGAGATACGCCAAATTCAGCTTCTTCTATACGTTCGGTCCCTCCGTCTTGTGTTATCATGCCAGACTGAAGCATGTAGCAAATGGGGAAAAGTCACAAATGTATTCAGTAATCCCATTCAGGTTGATTGGTTTCCAAGGGAACAGACAAGAGACAACTCAGTTGCTTTTCCTGTCCTCCTGGTGTAAATCAATTGAATCTTAATCCTGCCATTAGGTTTCGGTTCAGTCTCTAATTGAGAAGTGGGGGGTTTATGAATCGGCTGCCAGCGCCAGGCTTTCCTTTCAGCAGATTAGACATTTCTTATTGTTGGCAGCGCTCAGGGAAAAGGTGTGCGTGAAGGACACACTGAAGAAGGAAATGTTATGTTTGCGTTTCGAATATGTAAATATATTGTTTGTATGTCTAGAAACTCACTGGTTTGAATGTAGTTATAAGGCAGTTTTCAAAACTGATGTAAAAAATAAAAAATCCTTCCCTGTGTGGCTCAGTGTTGTATAATACACATCATATCAATAATTTGACTGCTGCACATGTGCAACTCCTGGATTAACAGCTATTTTCATGCAACAATATTGACCTTGATTTAAAACTGAACCCAACCATAACTACACACCAAGGGAATAACAGATTATATTACATAAACAGTTATAATTTACAGAACTTTTCCCATTAATGGACCTTTTTTCCCACATGCAAACATTAAAGGCCACATTGGTTTTCTGCCCATAAGACTATATTTGCTGAGCAGTGAGGGATATATTACTGACATAAAGCACATCTTCTACTTAAAATCTGCCTGTAATGGTACCCAAGGTAGGATGCACTATTCTTTATATACACAAAGAAAAGATGGAACTTTATTTGGTGCAACAATGTTTAAATGTGTCATAAATGATCATCCTCGGTACATTTCTTCCTGGATCATCAGAATAACGTGAACTAAAATGACAAGTATTCCCCTTTACATTGTTCAGAAAATGTGCACTGCAGTTGTAGGCTGTCATTTCCCAAATCCCCAGGAGAGATTCTATAAAAAGCATGGCTGTAATTGAATTCTTCACAATGTCACTCTTGAAATTACACGTTGCTATTGAAGGTCCTGACCTTGCCTACAGAATTATTATTATTATTATTAACGTGGCTTGCTAATTTCACAATCAGAACGATTATTTGTACTTCGTCCAGCACTTACAATGACATCAAAGTAACTATTCAAGATTCAAGAGCCGATACAACTTCCATCATGAAACACTAAGAAAAGGGACCAGTGGCTCACCGTGGTAACGATTCTGCGAATGGCAGCTGAGGCCATGTCCTCTCCTTTGGGCTGGCCCACCAGAGTCATCCCCAGGTACTTCACGTTGAACACCATCCCATCCTGCAGGGTCTCCTTGGTGTCCGTCCAGTTCTCTGGCAGCTCTGTTAGGAACAAAGGATATAGGAAATCAGCTAAATGCGCTGAAATAGCTGAAAGAAATGTGTCAAGAAATATATATAGAATTATTATCAGCTTTCAAAATGGTTGAGGATGATGCTTGCGAATGATAGTAAAGATTTCACATAATCCACTCGTTAAATATCACAAAGGGGATCAAATTATAAGTTATTTTGTAAGGGGAATCACATGATCTCCATAAAAGATACTTTTAAATACATTACAAATATTCAATTCTAAAAAAGTTAGTTTAAAGTCTTCTTTGTTTGTTGATCAGACTTTTAAAAACTCAGCATAGACAGCATGCAGGTTAGCAGACAGTGATGTGGCTGTAGTCAGACAAATGATGTGATATTATCATCCTAACATGAAATGTCACATCCCTGCAATATTTCTTATTTCTCTATATAATAACATAATGTGTAAAGGTCTGTGTGCATTGTGAGATAATCATTACAATAGAAGTTAAACTCTACTGACAGAATAAACACATGGTTTGATTTATGGTAGGTGATCCACACAATGGACACTTTCTTTCCTTTTTCTGAATGTACAACTAGAAAGCATCCTATTGAACTGAGATCTGTTGCTTGGATGCTGTAGTTTCTATAAAAGTGAACAGTGTGGATCCGTGTCGCACAGGCCCAACAAACCGAGGATCAGCAGGGCTTTGATAAACTGTACACAATGCACTGCAATGTCCTGCTGTTGCTGTGATTTCCAACAGGTAGCAGCAAGCTGTCCCTTTAGCAGACGGGTGGACACACAAAGGGGGGACGGTGCCCATGCAGAGAGCCTCAAATATCTCCAAACGAAGCCTGGAAATCCTGCAGAGGAGCACCGGGGGAGGGATAACTTACGAAACAGACCACGTTTTCTCAGAAATATAACGGGCTGATAAGGGAGACATGAATCCACAACAAATAAAAGCAGCCTTTAAACACCAAAGTTGTGATAAAGGGAACCATACCCATGCTTCACTCTCGTTTGTGTCCTTTTTTCTTTCAAGGTCCCCTACTATACTCTCAAGTGTTTGGCTCTAAATACCAAACAGATCATTGTAGCATGCCATATAGCCCTCTGTTTCAGCCATGTTTTAAAAGTGCTGATTCTGTGTCTGTAGCGTTGAATGCTAATGAACTACATCTCCCCACGCCCCTCTGCGAGATGATTGGTTTAAAAAACACAATGGTGCTCTTGGAGGTCATTCAAGGTGATATGGTGGGCGAGTGTTACCTTTGTTGGTTATTGACTAATGGTTACACAACCCACAACAAACATTGTGACATCACAAAGTGGCTTCAAAGAGAAATAATCTTTTGTCCTGAAACCTTCCGAGTCCCTTTACACAGAGGGGACACGTATGTATGTATAGAAGACATGGAAAAGTGGATTTTGCATAATAGGTGAACTTTACAGATTCATTTTCTGCTCACATACTGAAATGATGGAGACAGAGACACACAAAATAAATGTCTAACACTCCACTGGGCTATACTGGCACCAAACTCTCCACACGGGCTGAGCCATCTGTCACTGGCAGGCCCCATGCAGCTGTGAAGGAGAACGGCACAGCGCACCGTCCACTAACAGCGCTTACAACAACTATGAATTATTAAATCATCTTTAATCATTCTGTGGAGGCTGCTTGGGTTGTGGTGGTTTAGTAATGGTGGGCAGCATTGTTGGTTGCGTTTGGCTTGTGCTGGAAGAGATGTGTGTCATGATTAAAAGTCTCCTTTGGTCTAATAGAAATGGTCTTTACTACTTACAGCCATTCATTGTTCCGAGGCGGCAGGTCCACTACCATTAAAGAGCGGTGCTTTAATGCGCTATTGATCCATGAGGGGGAAATGCATCGCTGCCCATCCCCCTCCCCACAGGAGGTCAGAGGTTCAGCTACAAAACACTGCTCAAGATCACTCTAACAAGGTAAGGTAAGAAGATAGGCGACACATTTATAGAAAAGCCATTTCACTGTTGAGTTTTTCAAAAGGACAAATCAAACATAACTCTAATCACATTGTATTGTTGTGACAAAAAAAGCATCAGCCCACAGCTGATATAAAACCACAGATACAGTATCTGCAAAGGTCAACACACGAGATGTCACAAGAAACATGTATACCAAGTCAATGCCAACATTCTCATGGCTTAAGAGTAACCTCTCCAAGTTGTCTGGGGAACAAAGATTCTTTGTTTAAAAAGCACCAAACTTACTTGGTTAAGAATGAGCTTTCTTCCCTTTATAGGGCTTAGAGTTCGTATAATATTTGTTTGGAACAACGTGTGTCCAAGATGTTGCTAAGGTTTATCAGACTTTGAAGTTTCTCCTGACATTTATTTTGTTTGAAGGAAGTTTAATAATTGCAACCACAACCTTACTCATTTCCAGAAGTAGCCTTACCCTGCCAAACTCATTGGATAGTCCTCATCTTAACTGGAAATGATTACTGGCTTTTACACAGGATAATTGTATTTATAAAATGATGTTGGAAACATGAAAAAGTCAGCAGGTTACGCAGTTTACAACAAACGTATCGTATTGGCGTACCTTGAGAAGCTAAGTGTAGCCGATACAATCTGCTGGTGAGTTTACAAAATGGTCATGACCTGATTTTATTTACTTCTGTGTGATATCTTACTCCCATTATTGAAAACAAATCAAGGATGTTTGGGGCTTAACAAAGAGTAAATACCAAACAGTTTTTATTTTGAACCTTGATCAACACCCACATCAATCTTCAATGTAGTAAGGGTCATTCTTAGCTGTGATACATAAACCCCTGGTCAGAGGATTGAATCCATTGTTGCATTCTGTCCCAGCACTACAAAGCTTTAGTCCATGTTGTGACTTCACCAGGCTACACACATGAATTATTAATGAGCTTCATGTTGATGCTGCAGGGTTTCCAATATATTATCCCCCTAAAAGAGGAGCGCTTACATTTTTAATAAATCCTGTATGAGTCTACAGAGGGACCAGGACTGAAGAGTGACAGGCACAAGCGGGAGGGAGGCGAATTGGATTTTAACATGTTGAAGAAAATAGAGGAACACTGAACATTTGAACCTGTATATTGTGTGGATGTGTCATGTGTGTGAGTGTGTGTTAGTAAAGAATGAATGTCAAGGTCATCTGTTAAAAAAAAAAGAAAAAAGCACAAAACAAGATTAGGGCGGGCGATGCCGCTCTGGTGCACTGGTGACGTTTGCATCTGTAAAATGATGCCTGGCAACCCCTTCACACCCAGGCTGCTGCAGCACTGTCTCCATTGTGTTCACACAAAGCCTCACAGTTGGGACCCACGCTAAAAAGGAATCAATGTATTACGATGCAGGCACACAGAGCAATTTTATGACACTTTGCTGCACTGAGCCTCAAGTGTAAGCACATAAAAGTTATATTACAAGTTAAAATACCATTGCCCGGAGATGTGGAGCACTGTAATATATTCAACAGTCTGTTGAACGAGGAACTGACAAGTGTAGCCATTTCACAGTAGCTCACCCGACTGTTGCAGTATAATAGATACCATGTGCTCTGCACGCCTTCAGCTACATGCAGTGATCACCAGCTGTGTCTTCCAGATCCACGCTCAGTAATTGAATTTGCACAGAGAAACTGAGTTAGGATCGTACGCGTTGGGATTCTGCTCTGGCGGTTAATTAATAACACAAACAGAAGGGCACCCGGGCACAATATAGAAAGAAAGGGCATGCACACTGGCACACAAAGTTTCCTCAAGGTACCTTCATCAGAGTCAAAAAGGTCTAAATAACAAACACATTCTATGGTTTCAATTTCCCTACAGGTCAGTAAGTAGGCCATTTATTCCTCACACAACATCTAGGTTTGAATCCAACACCAATATCAAAAAGGAAACATTCAGCTTCTTTTTTTAGACCCAAGTGACACCCCCATCCTCCCCATCCTCCACATCCTTCTAATATCATCTCTTTGCCTTACTGTTTTACTCATCCGATGGAACTTTGAATCTAGGACACCACCTTGACAGAGAAAATAGGCCGCACATCCAGGGGAGATGGTGGGCTGGGATGGTGTGTGTGAGTGGGAGTGGGAGGGTGGGGGTGTAACTGGTTTCTGATACTGCCTTGAGGGGGAACCTAGTAAAGCTTAGTCCTTCCTTTCAAGCTCTTCTCAATATTTTCCTAATTCTATCCCTCCACTTACCTTCTCAACTCATCTGCACTTCCTCTGGCTCTCAATTGAACCCACTTATTTTGAAACCCCTCCCCCCTCTTCACATATAACAGACTAGCTTATTAAAGGAGCACAGGGATACGTATTAATATTTTAGATTGTCAATCAAAGCCACAGTACGAGCCACTCCTCAAACGTCAACAATGACAAACATGGAGTCACGGGATCAAACAGCCGATGTTGCTAAGCAACCACAGACGGCAGCACGGAGGTGGTACCTGCACATCACATTACTGAACACCTTGGCTAGGCATCAAAGCAAGTGTACAAATAACAAAGTGCTCAGAAGAAGTGGAATTACTCTGAACTGGAGCAGTACATGAAACCCCACCTCCATCATTTAGTATTACATATCCAATGGGAACAAATACAAAACCTCATGTAAACCTTTTCCTAAATGCCCTCAAGTGATATCCTATATCTTGTTTTGACTGACAATAATGAACTATTAAAATCAGAAAATGACCAGTTGGAACTGAGGATGGTTCAGCCATTTTGATTCAAATGTAAATATTCATAAATATTTATCTAGTAACAAGCAGGGTCCAATAACTTTCCTGATTATCAACTTACTAATCCATACATTTACTTACAGTTTTATATGTGGCATGTTTAGTGTGTATTTCTAAGTAACAGATAAGGGGATTTTCTTTAAAAAGTCCCTTAAATGCAAACTTACTCTATATAAGTATGGTCCGGCAGTGGCTCAGTCAGTAGGGGCTTGGACTGGGAGCCGTAGGGTCGCTGGTTCAAGTCCCC